GGCACAGACTCTCCGATGGTGCTGCTTCTGTGACACACATTTTAAAACACCAGCATTGCTCTCCCGTCATCTGGATAAGTACAACGTCAACTGGAAGCTGTACTGGCGACTGTTTTATTCTAGCCGTGATGGAAGTGCTTGTGTTCTGTGCAACATATTACATGCGGACAGGCGTAGTCTGGAGTGCCATTTTAAAATGGTGCACTGCATCACTGGGTCTTGTGCCGAACGTGAACCGGAAGTGATTACCGTTGAAGGTGAACCATCGGAAAACAGCGTACCAACGACTTCGGCGGACGAGGCGGCATTAGACGTCGGTCGACGGCCAGGCCGGGCGCGCGACGCTGTGCTGGAAAGTGAGCAAGGCAATCAACATGTCATCAATGCAGAAAACATAGACAACATTGATGTTCTGTTCGAAATCAATAGTGTGACCACAAGGGAATGTGGGACGCCAAGTGTCTCGACACCAGAGTCGTTGCACCTGGCGCTTCCTTGCACATCGAGTGAAGCGGATGAGTCACCGATCACGGGAGACCTTGAGCATATGCAGGAAAACAGAGTGGCCCAACCGGAGTCACCTTGTCATCTTGACGTAGGCAACGTCAGCGATGGCCCAGAACCCACTGATAGTAGGAAGCCACAGGGGGCAGTGGCGCCTCCGGTCCCCTTCGCCATCCTTCACTCGGACGACGAGGTGGAAGAACTGGAGACAACTGAAGCGAATCTGTTGGCACCAGTTGTATCCGGACCGAACAAGGATGTGTCTGCTACAGAAGCGGGGACAGGACCAGATAGCTGTCCAAAAGGTCCAAAATCAGAGGTGATCAACATAAACGATGACGATGACGACGATGTCGCCATGACGCCGTTTGTCGGTTTCGATCGGCTCATGCTTCAACCTCCAAGCATTGACCTTCCACGGACCACAAACCTGCCAGCAGAGAGCAGACACACTAGACCAACGGCCGTGGTGAATCCGTTCGGCGTGGATGGAGAGACATTCTCTGTTTCCAGAGACGCGTGCGAAGAGACCATCGCAGAGCCGCCCTCGTCCGTAGCTCTCCCAGCGCTGCCGGGATCGTCGCAGACAGTTGCTCAAGGGTCTGCACAGGGCAGCCCAGTGCGATCACCCTCGTCGCCGGGCTCGGACCTGATCGCCATGGTGGCAGACAACTCTGACAACTCTGATGTGGATGATCCAGCTCCGTCACCTTTGGATCCCCTGCTAGCCTGCAATACACCTCCCAATGTTCCTGGCGATGTCGAAATGGAGATCAACCCGACATCAGGAAACCTGCGAGGGACTTGTGATGGGCCAACAAAGAACGATCTGCCGGATCTGGGTAGGCTGACCCCGAGTAAAATAGCGTTGTATATGAACAAAGGCTTCTTTACCGCTAGACACCAGAGCGAGCTTGATCAGCATCTCAGGAAAAAAGCTCTGTCTGAGCCTTTATCACCCGTGCGAAAAGAATTGCTTGGTGAAACGTCGCCAGACCCGAACTTGAACCGATGGGAAGCAACTTCTGAAGGTGGCGGTATCTCTGTCGGGTCGCATACACCGAGAGAGCAGTCTGTGTCGTCGGAGCCTGAAGCCGATGACGAGCCACTGCCGTTCGGTCTCAGCATCGTTAGCGTGGAATCCCTGCTGCATAAGCCATCGGAAGCCAATCAGGACACAGACGGCCAAGACGGCAGGCAAGTGCTCGCAAGAACGCGTAAAAGAACCAAACAAACGAGCACTGAGACCGCTGCAAACTCTAGAGGGACTACTAGGACTAGAAAACGAACGGTCCAGCGTCTTGCAAGGGGCACTGCATCACCAACCATGCTGTCCGCGAGCTGCACAGAACAGGAACATTCCTGCGCACAGAAAAAGCCCAGAGTCGATGCGGAGACGTCCGGGCACGAGGAGTTGATCCCCAGTGGAACGAAAGAAGTCTTCAAACAGCCAATAGGGTAAGGATTATCTTGCTTTATGATCTCTTACCTATACATAGGGGGCGTCATAGTATGTTTAATGTAGCAATGACCTTCGTTAAGCTGTTAGTAAAAAATCTTAATTATGTGAAATTGATGTCCCTAAGTTAAAGGGACCCTCCCACCTTCAAAAAAGTTAATGAATTGGCATGAAAGTGATGTCCCTTGGTTCAGAAAGAGCGAAAACGAATATCTACCAAATTTCACCGAAAAATATTCACTGGTTTTCAAGATATTAGGCTTTTACTTTTGTTTACTTTTTGGGATCTCCCCTGTTACTAGCGACTTTATTTGGAAGCAATAATTTGGCAGCCTTTAAGTGCGGCAGACGTTGCGCGCAAAGCAGCATATACCACACTGAACACCACGTGTTAACGATGGTTTTAGTCTAAAATTTAAAAATCGTTAGATCTCCGCTGACGTCACAAATTCTAAGGGGGCATTCCAATGCATTAGCCCCTTAGAATCCGAAAACTGCAAGTTTGAAATTCCATATCTTCTAATTAAAGCATTTTTCGATGTTGTGAGTGCCCAAACCGGTATTTGCAGGCCATTGCCACCAATTTGGCTATCTCAACTCAAAACTAATGTTAACCCTCGCCGGCCGAGGGGGGGGGCGGGTGCCGCCCCCCCCCCATAGGGTTTTTTTCGCGATAGCTCCGAACACGCTGGCGATAGAGAGCTGAAACTTGGCATACCTGACCTTTGATCCAAGCCGGATCTTTTGACACCAACCGCATTTTTGGGTCAGGTCAGGTCACTGACCTATGACGTCATAAGTGAACCTCTGCACGGTCTTCAGATGTCGCAACTTCGCAACGCCCTCACTGCCAGAGGAGATGTCACAGGGAAATGAAACTTGCAGGATCTAGTATCCATTATGAGTCCCACAACTTGTATATCTCGGATTTTTCCTAAAGGTCATATGAGGTCAGGTCATTTTCGTGACCTCACCATTATAAGTCAATGGGGAAAAATTCAAACTGCTATTCTGGCGCCGGGAACGATCTCCAACTATCTCAAGCACACAGAATCGTGATTTGATGCACTCCTTGCAAGGTTAGATGCGTCACTTTTGCAATGTTGACCTTGCGTGACGTCATTTATGACGTCATCAAGGTCAAATTAGTTTTTCGTCAATAACTCTTGATCAAATTGAGCTAGCGAGTCGGGAAAGGCACCAATGGACTCAGGAAGGCCTGCCGAATCGAATGATATGCGACATGACCTCTTTCGACCAACTTCGTGACCTGGGGGTGCTGACCTGACCTTGACCTGAGGTCAACACCCCAAGTTGACCTGACCCGGACAAAAAGTATATCATTCGACGCGCCTGAGCGAGGCGAACACGATGCTGCCAAAATCGGCGCTCTGCGGCCGTTTTTTGCGAAGTTATTCACCAAAAACTGAACCGTACCCTGAGGCACTTGACCTGACCTCAGAGGTCACCGGATGACCTAGGACCTTAAAATCGGGTACCAATCTCTGCGTCTCGTAACGGCGCACACGCTCGTTTTTTCCGCGACGCGCTAGCTCCACCAGGGGCGAAACGGCGAGGGGGGGGGGGGTCGTACCCGCCCCCCCCCCCCCTCGGCCGGCGCGTATGTAGAAAACCAATAGGTCCGGCGAGGGTTAAGGTGGGAGTGTCCCTTTAAACCAATAACCATGTAACAACAAACGGTTAACGATTTAAATAATGCCTATCGGGCTTAGACTGACGGCTAATTAAGCTCTGCAGCGCATTGGGATACACAAATTAGAAGTGGAACTAAATAGCGATTTAACGACCAGCGTCAGTGATCTAGCAAGTAACGATTTGGACTTAAAGATTATTAAAGGTCATTGCCATGTACATTTTCCTATCCTAGTCTTCAGTTTCCGAGTCATTTTCCTAATTTTCACTCTCCAGTGTTAAGTACTTTTCCTTAGATCATTTGTACACCGTTTGTGCTCTTTCTGAAGCGTTCAGTTCTGTCTGAAAGCATTCCGAGTTTTTGTAAAAAAATATCAAATCATACCTAATTCCCATTGTGGCAGCCCATGGGACGGTCTGACATCATATAAGCACCTTTTTGATCGCCTGTGACGTAAGGACTAAACTTCTTGAGCGGCCCAAGATGCTGATCATGTCTCTCTGGAATGTCTCCGACTGGTTTATAATTATCTGGCTAACGTGTGTATGTACCTAATTTGACTTTGTGTGACATATATAAGGATTAAGCTTTCTTCCGGTCCGTATAGTAAGCTCGGAATATCTCTGTCTTAAAGGGACTATCCCACCTTCTAAAATGTTGTTAAAACCAGTTAAATTGTGCCCGACTTTATAGATTGGATGACCAGGAACGCGGTTCTGGCATTTATTTTTCATTAAACATCTTAGGCTTCCCATATTCCAAACACAAACTTTCAAATATGTGACGTCACAGCCCGAAATTACCTCCTTCCCCAGGCCACATTACTGTCATAAAGCTGATTCTTTTTACTCTGTAGGCACCACAACAAAGTTCAGACCAAGTTTTAAGCGATTATTCAACGAACAAACCCATTTAAATCAGAATGACTAAACGAGGTGACGTCACACTAACGGTCGCTCCATGTTGAAGATAGGGCCTTGTACAAGGCCCATTTTCAAATGAAGGGAACGAATCTCTTCAACACCAAGAGGCCGCGGGGGTTGCAACCTAGATAGATAGTGGTTTCTGAACCTCGCCGCAAACTTGGCTATCTCAACTCAAACCCCATGTTAAAGGTGGGATAGTCCCTTTAATCTCAGTTACGGAAGTGCTGATATTTATGATACTGGTAAAATAATCGTTTTACAAACACAAGTTTTATAGGTTTAAAAGTATGAAGCCCCTGCCTTCGACAGAAATAACTTTAGTTATGACGTTTACCGTGAAAAAGAGGCAGGTGATTGTGGTCGCGCTGTTTGTAGTCGAGGATGGTGAACGTGTCGGTATTGTTGCGTGTGTCGCAGTGCACTGACTGGCCGACAACGGGTGTGGCTGTGCGCGCAGGCTGTGCGTGGGGATCATCCACGCCGGCAGTCTGGTGGAGGTCTCGACTGCCAACCTACAGATGTCGACCAACACGGGCAGTTCACTGGATGGCATGGTGAGAGGCTAGTTTTTTCTCACTACCCACTTTCTTTCGTTAGGTTTTCGAGAACGTGTCTTAATCCCTTTATAATTTGACACATGCATGTGATATTCTGACCATCGGTGACTGGTAATAGCGCAGCCAGGAAATCATTTCGGGAGGGGGGAGGGAAGGTAGCCGGTCCCGTAGCTCAGTCGGCAGAGCGTTGGACTCTGCGTGGTGAGAGCACGCGTTCCCGGCTACAACAGTCCGGATTCGAAGCGCGACGTACACTTTTTTCCGGTTTTCTCTTATTTATTGAACGAGATCAGTACATCACACCCTGTGCATGTCAGCCAACATTCAGAACTTATGTACATAACTGATCAGACCAATTTGCCTCGTACCTTAATAGCCCACATACACATGCCACCAGAACAGTGGGCCTAGCACCGGTAACACATTGCCGCCAAGACCACCAGCCTTCTACATACTTCATACGGCCTTAATTTACACACACAGCAGTCATCATCATGAACATGCACAGTCAGGTCAGCGCGACGGGCACTTGCGCGACGGCTCAAAAATACTTTTTGAGCAGGGCCCGTCTGACCGCCCCCCCCCCGGCATTTCTCACAATGGGTCATGCCCAGCCGGAAGTTCATATAAGTAGATCTCAAAGCCTAGTCCCATCCGGCCGGGTCCCCAGTATTGGACTTTTTCAGTCAGTTCGCGACTCTGCATCATTTTTTTCCAAAATTGGGACATTAACCGAGCCCCTCGTGTCTCGACATTTCCCGGGAACGGACGGTGTCGGACCGGGCCCCGTGTCTAGGTATCTCTTAGAGCCTGGTCCCGTTCGACCGAGCCCGTGTCTGATTGATCAAATTTATTCGATTACGGGCAGTACCCGGCAGAAATTGCAACAGGGTACTTATCAGCTGACCCTCTGGCCCCCCTTCCCCTCCCGGCTGCTCTGCTGGTGGCTGGGCTTCTAAAAAATAGTGAATAAAATCATTTTCACATAAGTGATGATGCTTAAGGTTTGTCATTGTCAGACTGAATGTGACACATCTCATGATTTGAACAATGCATAATTGTTGCGATCTACTTGTGACCATTCTTTTTACATTTTTTGCAGGTAATGAAGGTGGAAACTTCCACGGATGCTTCGGTCCGCTATTTTATTCACTTCCCGAACATGGACAAACGTCTGGACCGGTGGGTGTCCAAAGAGGACATCATTCAGGTCTACAGGACTGAACACGACAAAAACAATCAGGTTGGTGAATCGGTTATACCCTTCATCGATGGAGCTATGCCAGTAGAAATTGACCTAACAGATTGCAGAGCACAATCAGAATTAGAGTTTATTTTAAGCTTTTTGGGGCTTCAAGCCTTTTCTCTGGCTGAAAAGTCTACTTAATGGAGCTCATTGTGTGCTCCTATCTTACAGTATCTTACAGTATTCCATGATAGCTCGACAAAGAATTAAATTGACACCCACATATTTTATTTTTCGTTTAAATCTGGTCTATGGGGTTGTGATGGGCGGGGAAGCCAACTGTGGCAAGGATTTTTTTCTTCGAACAACGGTTTCCGAGATACAGCCTCGAGCAATTCCTGGAGGTCACGCTACAACCCTATGTTTGGCGGCTTATAACTCAGAAACTATTGGTTTTCTATGTGGAATAATTTTTATCGCTCAACTCGCAATCAACCAATGGACATGGAACCAATGGAATGAAGAAGAAAATCGGCCGGTAACTTTTTGAGTTATCGGCGTGTAAACGCAAAAAAAGTCGCTCATATGGCAGATTTGACCACATTTGACCTCATTTGACCTTGAAGATATTGACCTAGGGTCATGAAATTCACACACAACAGAGTTCCCCAGGGCTTTCACCTATCCTCCAAATTTCGTCTTTCTAGCTCCAGTGGGAGCTGAGATCTTAGGGGGGGGGGGCGACATCCGCCCCCCCCCCCCTTCCACTGGGCGTAGTACTCGCAACCCTTCCACTGCGCGTGTTAAGGGCAGGTCGAGGATTTCGATACTGGCGGCCCTGGTGGTGTCTGATTCGCTGTTTTTCTTTCTCCCTGAAGACTGATTCTTCAGAGGCTGACATACGCCAGATGGACCGTTTGAAGGTTATTTATGACTACAAGCTTGTTCTTGCATTATTGAACGTCTTTCTGGGGTATCTCCTCGATGATCGTATGCTTCGAACTGCCTCAATGTTTCAAAATCATCGTTTTGTGTTGTTCCTTACTGAACGGCGGTGGACCATGCGTGCCAGATTGGTGGGACATTTTCAGGCTCCATTGGGGCCGAGGCCTTCGGTTAAAAGGGACAAATCATGACACCATACAAAATGTCCCAGATTTATCTATCACGTGCATTGCTTTTTGCACGAAATTTTTCGATGTAGGGATTACCATTGACATTTACTTTTTAACAGTAAAAAAAAAACACCCTGTATAAAGGGAGTTTTTTCTCTAAATTTCGAAGCATCCCAGCTAGGAATAAACTAATAGCACCATCGTAATCCTCTCGTCGACCCGCATCGAAACATATTTATGTTGCCCTCGAAAGGTCAAGGTCAAAAGTTCACCTCAGGTCACGTGACCTCAAGGTTATCATGTATATCATTCGATGTGCCTTGACGAGCTGAACACATTGAGCCCATCCGCGCAGCCGAATCTCGAACATGTAAGGAGTTATTAGCAAAAAACCTTTGGTGACCTTTGATGACCTCACATGACCTTACAGTTGGACAAGACCAAAAAAGGCCCCATGAAAGTTGATCGTATATAAAGTGACTCATGGTATATTAGGCAATTCCGACGCGTTTTAGTGTAAAAATGAGGGAGCCGATTTTCCCCATTGACTTATAATGGCGTGGTCAAGAAATTTACCTGACCCTAGGTCATCGATGTCGAAATTCAAAGCGAACTGGCGCTGGGCCAAGGCAAACACAATGGTCCTAGCAAGAGCCTGTTCCACGTCTCTTTCTCTACAAGATCAAAAGATACAGTCAAAAAAGGAAGATTGTTGTGTGCTCAACGGGTGACCTCGAATGACCTTTCAGCGGGTCACTGATGCAAAGCTGCACCAGTGCTATCAATGATAGCCTAACTCAACATGATTCAGAAGTATTTGAACGGGTAAGATGCATTTCGGTGGTAGCCGATATTTCTGCTATTGACTTATAAAGGGCAGGCCACAAAAATACCCTGAGCTGAGGTCAACACAGGCTGAGAGCCACTTTTTTATTACCGTATATGAATGACAACTGATAAGGCTTTAATCGTCATCAGACAAAATTGCAACTTCCGGTGGGGAAAATATCAAGGTCACTTAGAAAAATAGGTCAAGAGGTCACGTGATCAAAATTTTCAAAAATTGACAATTTGAGATAGCCAAAATGTTCATTGGTTGATTGCGAGTTGAACGATGTAAAGTTGTCCTTACAGAAAACCAATAGTTTCTGAGTTATAAGCCGCCAAACATAGGGTTGCAGCGTGACCTCCAGAAATTGCCAAGAGGCTATATCTCGGAAACCGTTGTTCGAAGAAAAAATACCTTTCCACAGCTGGATTCCCCACCCATTACAACCCATTACACCAATTTTAAACAAACAAAAAAACGTATTAGGGTGTACGGCCTAAGTCGATCTATCGTGGAATGCCCCAGTGGGAAGGAACACCGTGACAAAGGTAATTGAAACCCTAAGGAAAAGCTCTGCTGACTTCTTCGTGTCTTCTTCGTGCAAAGTTGCACATACTTGGGAGAGTGCTAGTTGAATAACATGTTCCTTGTTTGCTCTGGTAGAACCGTTCTGAGGCTTCATGAACGCCTGATTCTGTTCTCAGGATGCAGGAGCGGCGGCGGGCGTCTCCAGTCCGCCGGACTCGACGAAACGACGCCTGGCCTTCGACCCATCGCCGGGAAGGCATACCCGGCAGGTGCGGAAGAAGGTAACTGGAAGAGTGACAGCGGCTTCCAAACGATCCCGATCATTGACGAAACCGAGCAAAAGAGGACGTGTGTCTGCAGCACAGCGACGCCCGAAAGACCGCCGAGGCAGGCTGGTTCGGCTGGCCAAGGAGCGGCTCATACCGACTCGCCAGAGCTCCCGGAAGTCGGACAGAAATCTGACCGCCACAAGCGTGCTATGTCCAACGCGTGCCAATGTTGGCGATGCAGTTGAACGGAGCACAACGCAAATGAGCAGCTACCCTAACAAAACGTTGTCGCTCAGGTCCAGACAAGTACGTGTAGCCGCCGAGACCGCACAGTCTTCGGAGTTGCGAGTCGTTGGAGACACAGAGAATACGACCGAGTCCACAACTACATCGCGTTGTTCAGATGCTTCTCGAGGAGACTCGAAAGGGGCGGACAATTCAGACGACAGGCGTAGCGGCAGACAAAAACCAGCTGAACAGGCCAGAACAGGAACAGGAACAGGCGTCGGAAGACGGCCTGCCGGAGGAACCATGGACGTGAAGTCAAACACAGCCAGCTGGAGTGATGGTGTCGCCAATGCTGGCAAGTGGAAGCAGCGATATCAGCCTCCGCCTGGTGTCACCGTCCGTCCGTAAGTACTGCTGCCGTGGCGCGTATGCTTAGGTTGCTTGTTTATATTTTCGAGTGTTAAATGATTACTTAGTTACAGTCAACCCGTAAAGCTGACTCCGACTACCGCTTCCTGAAACCAGTTCCGGCTCCGACTCCATCTCTGTCTCCGGACATCTATTATAAATTCCACATCATGATGGTAAAGCTCATGCCCGAGATGTTTTTTATTGCCTGAGGCTATCCTACATGCACGTTCTAAGCCCTTACATGGCAGTTCTACTTAAAACTATAGTTTTTTTTCAGAAGGTGTTTGGTACGTTTTTCAACTAAGCACGCGTTTTAGTCAGGGAAACTGGCAAGGACCAAACTTGAGAAAATCGAACATCGCTTAATTTTAACATGTGAGTTATTCCTGATAAATTCCATGCGTGCGTTTTGGAGCTATAACAATAGAACAGTGGTGGTGTCATGCTGTGGCTCTTGCATTGTAATGTAATGTATAACTACCAAGGACAGAACCGCTTACTCGATTCGGACCTCGGTAACAGTGAAAACGAAGTCTTCCCATAATTCGTTGAAACTTTGTCCCACAGAACGGACATTTGGTGCCAGCTGCCACGAGTGACGTCATCATATTTTGCTCATTTTTAAAGACAATTCCCATGCATTTACCGCGCACAATTTGAACTCGAAAATTTTAGGGGTAAGAAATTCCTAGCCAGACGCTGAAGCTGACAAAACTCACGTGAGAGCAAGGCTTTGTAAACCAGGGAGAACCTAGAACGCTCCCGACGAAAAACTGGGGACAAAAATGAATTTAGTAACCGCGACTCTGGGGACCAAACAAACTCAGGTTGCCGAATGCCGTGGTAACGGGGCAAATTTGGCATGAGTAGGTACGCATCTAATAACTTATTTTTCAACGAATTATTTCAGAAAAAAGCAAAAAGACTTATTGGACCACTACTTCATAGAATGAATAGCAGTTTTCATAAACGAACCAAGTTTTTTATCGCTGATTGTTGGGATTACTGCATTTGTTGTTAAGAATGCTCACGGTGCTGACAGCGCTAGCGAAGGTGTCTCCACTTTTCGTAATGTTAAAATCTCGGAGCGCACCCCCTGCGTGAGAGCTTGCCAGGCTGCAGGCTTGCCAGGCTGTGCACATCTGCAGCCTGGCAAGAAGGATATGTTATAGGATTATAACCGGGACCCTAAAAATGAAATATTGAAGAAAAAACTGATGAAGCCATGAGTTTGTTGGTCGTGGTCGCTCCGGGCCCGATTCAATGGCCTACGCCTGTAGTATTTGAAAGGCCTATGACTGTCTCTTTGCCATCAGCTGAGATGAAGTGTGCTGATGTGTGCCGTGTTTGCAGCTTTGTCAGCTCGATGGCGGACAGCCTGCGGCCGGGGATGAAGCTGTACGTCATCTGCACGGTGATCAACCACGGCTGGCTCCGGCTCTTCTCCGCTGTCGTATGTCAACACATGGGTCTTTATTATTCATGCAAATGGTTTATGCCTGTACAATTATTTGAATTACTTAGGAACGAGAATAGCTTAGTTACTAGCAGTGCCAAGCACAATTCACGACAATGCAAACACCGTAAGGTGGGGCTATTGGAGCCAGTGGGGCTATTTGAGACAGTATGTACAATGTACATAATACATATGATGTGGTTTAATAAAATTGCTATGAAATGAAAACCGTTCATTTTTTTTTGACAATTTTGCTGAGATTGGTGTGGAATCGAGCGTTGAATTGCCTCAGCAAAAAAAAAAATGACAAAAAAATGGTTATATATAGATTTTACTAAACCACTACATACTGTCTCAAACAAGGCCTTCTACAGAAGGTACAGTCACTCCCCCGCCGACCAATCAGAGACAGACCCTGAGTGACGTCACCCCTGATGCTCGCAAGGGGTATTCTATTCCTTTATAACGTACAAAATGACTAACTTTATTTGAAGACTATTGATTGCACTCTACACATACCGCTCAACGGTTGATGTCAATGGAAAGCCCAACTAAGTTTCTGGCGACAAAAAAGAGCGGCAAAATGCTAAGAAATGGCCGGTTTTGAAGATATCGACGATTTAAAAACCCTCTGCAGGAGCAGGAAAGCAACGTAAAAACGCATCGAGCTTATATTTTTACTATTAAAGGGAGATAATGACCTTTTTCCACAAAATCTGAGTTAGGACCATTTTCTGACAAAACACAACAAGTTATAATGTAAATTAAAACCATTTTGCTCAATTCGGTACCTTGCCGCAAATATCTCAACTTGAAGTCACGTTAGCGGGGAGCGCTGAAAATGACCGTTGAATAAGTACTTACATCACTTTTTGGTACTTGCATGTAATTTTGTAAAATGAGCGTATTCCTTACATTTGATCTTCATCACATCTAGTTAGTTAATGGTCGTCTATATTGCCTTCAAAAGATATTCATGGTTTGGGGGTGGTTTATGTCTAAATTTACGCAACTATTTTTCCTGTTCATCATCTGACGCCATATGCTGCTATTTTAGTAGCAACGACTCAATTTTGAATCGGTCCCGCCGACTGCACAATAAAAGAAGATAGATACAACACTTTTGCGGCATCACTGAAAAACTTATGCAGTACTGTTATCAAAATTCTCATAACACCGTTCGACAAACCTGAAGTCTTTTTGAAATAAATATGCTTGTATTTTTCGCTTCAGGCTCTGACGCCAAAATAATGAATTTCGTAGTCGCAATCGCAAGATTTGGCTGCGTTTCTGGCGCATGCCGTTCATTTGTGCCGCATGCCGCATGCCGAAACAAAGAAGAGTAGGCACTATGTACCCCCGAATTAGAATCTAATTAATTCTAAACCGAATTAACTCTAATTCAAATTAGAATCCTTACAACCAAGCAACGACAAGGCGATAACATAAACAAAAACCCAAGCGTCCCTGTTTGAAACAAAAGCGCCATATACTGCGACTTTTTTTATAGAGAAGGACAACGCATTTCGGTGGGTGTTACAAGTACTGCAAGTACTGCTTCTTTTTTGCAAAAATAAAAACCTTTTTCACATACGAAAATGTGCTAGGAAATTTTCATATTTTATAGAAACTACAGTAGAAATAGTATAGATGTCGAGTAATTTTTATTTAAAGGGACCCTCCCACCTTAACATTAGTTTTGAGTTGAGATAGCCAAATTGGTGGCCATGGCCTGAAAATACCGGTTTGGGCATTCACAACATCGAAAAATGCTTTAATTCGGAGATATGGAATTTCAAACTTGCAGTTTTGGGATTCTAAGGGGCTAATGCATTGGTATGCCCCCTTAGAATTTGTGACGTCAGCGGAGATCTAACGATTTTTAAATCTTTTACTAAAACGTTTGGCAGCACGCGGTGGTATATGCTGCTTTGCGCGCAACAAATGCCGCACTTTCAAATAAAGTCGCTAGGAACAGCGGAGATCCCAAAAAGTAAACAAAAGTAAAAGTCTAATATCTTGAAAACCGGTGAATATTTGGTAGATATTCATTTTTGCTCTTTCTGAACCGAGCGACATCACTTTCATGCCAATTCATTAACTTTTTTGAAGGTGGGAGGGTCCCTTTAAGAAAAAAGAAAGCTCATTATCTCCCTTTAAGAAATCATTTTTCAGTAACTTTTTAGATGAGGCATCGATTTAGTTAACAACTTTATTGCAACATTTTTATTATTTGTAACTTTATTTCAAAATGATATTTTCAAAAAATGGCAGCGTAGCTTGGAAGCGATTGTTGCGCATCGCGCCATTATTGTCCTGAGGCCCCCTTAGGATGTCATCAAAAGTGGAGTGACATGGGCCTGGTCTCAAACAGCCTCACTGTCTCCAATATCCCCACCTTATGGTATGGATAACAATCTGTGCCGAGCCAGTGCTCGGCGCCGCTCGATACTAAACGAAAGACGCCGTTCGACGGCGTTCGAAAACAGGTTAAAATATCCCGAAGGAAGTAGTTTAGGCAAAATAGGTGATTTCACCAGAGTTCCCCAAAGGTCAAATTTTGCCTATTTTGCTTCGTATTTCGCCTGAGAAGCGCCCGTTAAAATGATTCTAAAGACAACGGTTCAACATCCATGAGGCGAAAACTTGAAACTAACGTTTTTGCGGTCATTTTTTTTTTCAATCACTTTTGACTGACCTAAAAGATCATTTGAAGAATTTGATCTAGGTTCTTGATCATAACCTGACCAGAAAAAGTTCATGCTGCATATCAGTCGATTTGTATCGTTGAGCTGAACACATTCAATGTGTTTTCATCGCTCCAAAAATTATTAGGAAAACTGCTGAAACCTGTCATGACTTGGGATAAACTGGGGGGGGGGGGTAAAAAGTGCCACGGCTGCAATTTTTTATTTGAATATGTGTCAGGCATACCTATTACCCGGCCCTGTTCATGAAGTCTGCGGTCGCTGCGGCCGGCCGCGGGTTCTAAGCCCTGCCCATTTTTGAAACGTCATCACTCACTTGGCCGCAGCAGCGTTCCGTGAACAGCGTCTGCTGCCGAAATAGTTTCCGACAATTGTTCACAACTGACGCACACCGCTAGATAATTTGTTTACAAAGTCGTCTCAGTGACAACACGGCTTGCGCCTATTTGACTTCAGTGCGCCAAGTTCAGTGCAATTAGTTTTCTTGCGGCTCGGCGGTCGCTGGATTGCGGTCGCAGAGATCGCAGCGGCCGCAGCAAGGTGACGTCATACATTCGTCATAATACATGAGCCCCGCCCCTTTTCGTGACGTAACAACCCGGCTGACCGCAGCGACCGCAGCGGCCTCAGCGACCGCCGGGGTTCATGAACAGGGCCCCGATGTTTGAAGGTATTAAGTATGACTTTCGTTCAAAACAAGCCCAGTTCAACGGTCTCCCATTGACTTAGGTAATAGGTATACCTGATGGAAAGGTCGCAATATTGACCTGACATAAGGTAACTGAAATAAACACTGAGATATCCGAATACTGTTTCTCTTATCAGTTGCTGAAAGTTTCTTTTTTTCACAAACACACTGTACAGTACAGTTGCTGAAAGTTTCAAAGTGATTGTTTAGTCGGTGTGTAATCTCCACTGAACCCACTGCAGCCGGGTGCTCTTTTTGGAGCATTCTGTGCATACATACATTTCTGGATTTTTAACTGGAGGGGTCATTTGTTTAGAGATAATTAGGTTGTCTTTCTTCCAATATGTCTGTTGATGATTCATTGGATAAGTGTCATTGAGACATTGTCGAACAACGACATTGTTGAAAAAATGTACGTTTAACATTGACGAATATCATCAGTTCAAATGGAAGCCTAGTTCCATGGCGTATTGTAAAAGCTCACAGCTCAAGTTCAGTCCATTGGGGGATTACACACAGGCAGGGGGTTTTATTTTATAGCATTTCTGATTTCCTGCCTCTGTCGCCGGACCACAGATCAAGAGAGTGGTGGCCCGGAGGCAGTACCACGTCCACTACCTGGGCTTCAAGTCCTGCCACGACGAGCTCATAGCGCCCGACCTGATCCACAGCGTCATCGAAGTGCAGGGAAAGGCGCCGGTCAGGCAGTTGCAGGTAAGACTGCCAGTGCACCGCAGCTCATCTCATAACCCATATCTATTTTCTGTGTTGTCCATAAGTCCATGTCCTCTTTGTGAGCCGCTGCCTTTTTGCCTTTTCTGGCTAATGTGTGTTACTGCTGCGCCAAAGCCTCGATTGCACGGTACCTTTATGTTGGGTGCAATTAGCAAGTAAAAAAAAAGGAAAAAATGGCCAGTACCGATTATGCGCCTCCCTCAACCCGGCACCGCCTCGACACACGCCCTCAAACGCGGATACAACACTTTGGGCTGATTTCAGGACGTTCAGCGCGGAATGGTTCTTGTAAGTGAACTTTGATTCTGAGTAGCTGCTAAAAAAATATACAAAACTATCTTGAACAGAACGCTACCAGCAGCAGAACTTATCATCATCGCCGATAAGCCACAAAGCTCGATCATCCATCATATCTACCAAGCCCGTATGCGCAAGGAACTCAATGAGAATATAACCAAGAAGATTAACTGTAAAAGAGTCCTCCCAACTATGATACTGGTGTCCTGAAAATTTATATCATCCAGACAGCCAACATAATTGGAAGACGATCAGAAATAGAGTTGCAAAATTTCCCTACCGCACTACCGGCATGCCGGTAATTTTTCACTACCGCAGGTTTTTTCGTGGTATTTGGCATATCCTGCCGGTAGCATGCCGGTATTTTTGATTTTGCACCAAAAAAAATTATCAGCATATGATTCAAACTTTGGACACTAAGAGGCTATTGATTTATTGAAATGTAATAACAGCAATCTTAGCCACTGCAAAATACATTTTGTGGTAGAAGTTCCATTGCTAAGGGTAATTGTACATATGAACCTCAGCATTTCACAGGTTTGGCTCTAATAAGAATTGTCAAGAATCTACTGTGGTCTATCAAAGGAAGAATACTCATTCATGTTGCAAAAGCACAACCAATTACTATGCATTTCAGACCCCATGAGACCCTGCTTTTCGGCGATAATTTCTTCAATTTTTGTCCAATTGGCTTGAAATTTTGGCAGACGATATTTCAGCTCAAGCGCCAATTTTTGTCAATATGGTCTTTTAACAAAATATCAAAATTTAGAGCACTTGTCGTTGGCTCGTAATGTTAATCAGTTTTTGCACCCGGATAGAGGCTCGCTCGCTACCGCACCGGATTGGATAGGAGCGCTGGCCAATCACGTTGCGCCGGGCCCAACTAAACTCCGCCCACTGGCCGTGACCGCGATGGGTCTATACCGCTTCAGTCGGTGTCAGCACCGCGGAGAGGTCAGAGCGGGACCACATACTGGAGACAAGTGAAGCTGGCAAAGTTGCTTCGGGACGAAAGCCAAAAAATTATCCGTTTGAGGGCATTTGGTATCCTCTTCGTCTTCACCTTATTTTGGTATTTAAACGTCGAACCAGCTCAGAATATTCAGAATGATCAGAATCAAAGTAGGATCTATTGGAACGGAATCGGCCGTAAAAGGAAAGATGGGTACTCTTGGACTCTTTTTTTATAAATTTAGTTCGAACCTTTTGATGGGAAGGATTCACAAGGACAGAGCCACCGCTAAGCGAAGCTTGTTGCGATGACCCTGCCCTCTACCCTCCGATCGCGCCATTCCGATTCTATGGCAGAATTTAGAGTCCAAAGTTTAAAGGGACCCTCCCACCTTAACATTAGATTTGAGTTGAGATAGCCAAATTGGTGGCCATGGCCTGAAAATACCGGTTTGGGCACTCACAACATCGAAAAATGCTTTAATTCGGAGATATCGAATTTCAAACTTGCAGTTTTCGGATTCTAAGGGGCTAATGCATTGGTATGCCCCCTTAGAATTTGTGACGTCAGCGGAGATCTAACGATTTTAAATCTTTTACTAAAACGTTTGGTAGCACGCGGTGGTATATGCTGCTTTGCGCGCAACAAATGCCGCACTTTTAAATAAAGTCGCTAGGAACAGCGGAGATCCCAAAAAGTAAACAAAAGTAAAAGTCTAATATCTTGAAAACCGGTGAATATTTTTCGATGAAATTTGGTAGATATTCGTTTTTGCTCTTTCTGAACCGAGCGACATCACTTTCATGCCAATTCATTAACTTTTTTGAAGGTGGGAGAGTCCCTTTAACGTGCGCACAAAGCCGCGCACGGCCGGTCCCCTCGCTGACTTCACCTGGCTACGGCCTGCCACCAACCGCAACCATACCTGTCAGGAGGCCCATAAATGTCGAGCGCCCGTCGCGCTTCGAACCCGGACTGTCATAACCGGGAACGCGTGCTCTCACCACGCGGAGTCCAACGCTCTAACCAACTGAGCTACGGGACCGGCTCTGAACATTTATTTAAGCCGGAGTTGCACCTATCTCATCGTCAGGTTGGGTCAGGTCACTACCCGATTACCTGACCTGTAAGATCATGTGTAAGCCTCTGCTTGATCCAAACATATTGATATATTTGGCACTGCCAATAAATGTTTCTGAGGAAGGCGCAGAAAGCAACAAAGTAGGATGAAGAGTCTCGGGCACGGCCGATTGCCTGGGGCATCGCTCCAGCGAAACGACCGTATTCGTGATTCGTGAAGCGGTGCGGGGCGCCGGGTGGGGCAGAAGCGTAATGTGTCGTATGGTAGAAATGGCCTTTATCGCGGTGTCATGTGTGTGTTATATTGTTAACCCTCGCCCTGGCAGGGGGGGGGGGGGTCGATGCGACCCCCCCCTAAGGTTTTTCGAAGATAGCGTAAAAACGGCGGCGCGCAGCGCGGCCAAAATTGGCACAGCCTATGGGGCAACCTTTTTACATATGACCTAAAAATTTCAGGTCCGGGTGACCTTGGGTCAGGTCACCAGGTCAGAAAAACCGGTACAAGGTCATGGTCAAATTTCAATTTTCTTTTTGCACCTGTCCAACTCACAGTTTTGCACTGATTTCCTTCAAACTTTCAGGATGTGCTAAGTTCACCGAGTTGTATAACATATAGTTCGGGTTTTTTGAGGTCACTGACCTGAGGTCAGTTAGAGGTCATTACGTCGTAATGTTAACCTTCGCCCTGGTGGGGGGGGGGCCATTTTGGCCCCCCCCTGTGGTTTTTCAGCGATAACTCAGAAACCACTTGAGTTAGCGCCCTGAAACTTTGTATAGCTGTTTATTCAACATTTTTACATCATGTCCTTTTTTGGGGGGTTCGGGTCAGGTCAGGTCAGGTCACAAGGTCACCAAAACTGACACCACCTCTAAAAAAGTTCAAAGCTCTCTCAAAGGCACAGCTTTTATCCGATCGATGTAAAATTTACAGTACTTGAAGATGTCACCCAGCTCTACAAAATGGCTATCTCGGATTTTTTATAAATGTGACCTAAGGTCAGGTCAGGTCATCGCTGCTCCCCATTATAAGTCAATGGGAGAATCGAAAAGTAGTTGTTTTTCAGCTAAATCGGGCGTGATTGTTCCTATATTTCGCTATTGAAGTGTCTTGGGTCAGCAAATCACAGCCCATGTGAAACCATTTGCTTGTGACCTCGCTGAGGTCACGCTAGGTCATCTCCCTGGTCACCAGAGGTCACCAGCGGTTTTTCTGCACTTACTTGTTATTGAATAGAGATAGAGACTCCGTTCGACGTTTATCGTGTTTGTCTCGTCAATGCGGATCGAATGATATGCAGCATGACCTATTTCGGTAAGGTCATGACCTTGACCTGAGGTCAAATTTTCAAAATGACCTTTCGTGGTCAAACTATATATCATTCGACGCGTCTCGACGAGCCAAGCACGATGGTGCATGAATCGTTTCTCTATTTTCTCGTGAATGCATGCTATAGTTAAAAACATTTTCAACGAAATTTGCCAAGTTGACCTTGCATGACCTCTGTAGGCCAAACCGTTGAGCTGAGGTCAAATCTGACGAACCTTGGCGAAAGAGCTTGAAAAGAGCTATCGATTGCTTTTTTCCGCGGCTCTCTAGCTCTTCTAGTTTCCGAGCTACAGCGGAATATGTCCGGCAACACCGAAAACACTGAAATTTGACCTATGATGACCTCTAGCGACCTCAATATTGACCTTAGCGAAAAAATGACCGAAATACTTTCGAACGTACTTGTCATGGGCTTTCGTTTGCTTTTTTCCGCGTCTTCCTAGCCCTCTTCGTTTTCGAGTTAGACGGGGGGGTCATTTTGGCCCCCCCCCACCAGGGCGAAGGTGGCTCAGACCCACACCAGGGCGCGGGTTAAGCCTATGGGAAAATACTAAATTCGGAAAATACTGCAGATATCCGCTTTGTTTTATCACTTTTGTGCTTTGAAACCACAGTACTTAACAGCAGGTCACTTGGTGCTTTTTTGTTTGGTGTACTTATCCATGGGTCAGGTCAAATGAGGTCAACTGAGGTCAAATGACGTTTTTGCCAATAACTTGGCACATCATGACGCTAGAGCTTCAAAAATGGTATCATTGTGTTCCTGGTGATCAGCCGAATCGAATGATATGCGATATGATGCAATTTGGTCAACTTTAACTTAATTTATTAATTTAAGTTTACTTAAAATTTAAGAAAAACTTTAAGTACACTTAAGCAAGCTAAAAAGTATATCATTCGACGGGCCTTGACGTGCTGAGTTCACTGGTTCTTTTCTTTTTGCTCTATCTTAATTAGATCAAAAGTTATACGCGAAAAACTTTTGACCTGTTTTTAGCGAAATTTTTACATTTATACCCCCCTAAACCCCCCTAAATATTGACCTAGAGCAACCAAATTTGCACAGGGGCAAGAACTCCAGGGGGCCCACCTACCTACCAAATTTGGTGTTTCTAGGTGCCATAGGAGCCAATCGCGAGGGGGGGTCGCATCGACCCCCCCCCCCCCCTGCCAGGCCGTGTTATGAAAAATGCCCTGCCAGGGCGAGGGTTAAGACGTGCACAAAAAGAAATAGCAATGTAGCAGGCGGACGTTGGGCACTACACGAGAACAATCATCAATAAACTCGTATCTTTTTTGTAAAACTTAACCCTCGCCCGTATAGGGGGGGGGGGGGTCGAACGGACCCCCCCCATTGTTTTTCGCGAATAACTCGCGTAAATAGCGGCCGATCGCGACGAAACTTTCAGTACCCTCGCGCCAATCAATTTTACACCTAACCTGACAATTTCATGACCCTGACCCCAATGACCTTTGACCTGTGACCTACTTTTCGAGACCATGTTTGGCCAGAATCCCGATTCGGCGTATGTCGGCTCGCATTAGCCGCGCGTTTGCAGTCTTTTCGTGGTTTCAAGCGTTCAAACATGTGATATGATGTTGCCCCCATGCATAAGGGTGGGTGTCAAGGTCACCTGAAGGTCAGGTCAGGTCATAGACCTTTGGTGACCTCGGTTCACTTTTTCGAGTTTTACATGTTTCTAGGCCAGTTTTTGGAGCTGAATTCGAATTTAGCAACCATATGAACATTTACGAAGTAGTTTTGGTGCCTTCGTAACATGTTACGAAGCTGTCAGAGGCGGTTGACACCTACTAGGAATACCCGGCAGGACCCCTACTGGTTGACCTGACCTGACCTGACCCGACCTGGACTAAATGCATAAAGACATTATCTGTGATCAAAACTAACATGATATTCGTGATCAGCGCCCCGAAAAAAACCCATAACAGCCACACTTTACGATGTTCTAACAGGTCCCGATTTTCCCGACTTTTGGGTCATTGACCTGACCTGCAAGGTCAACCCATGGCCTAGGACCTTAAAATTAGGTATCATCGGCTTCCTCTCGTCACGGGCAACACGCTCGTTTTTACCGCGAAGCTCTAGCTCGATCAGGGGCGAAACGGCAAGGGGGGGGGTCAACGGACCCCCCCCCCCCTCTTATACGTTCGCGGCTGGAAAAACACCAATACGGGCGAGGGTTAAGTAACAGTAGGTATGTCCTCAGTGGTGAGGAAACTATCTCTAGGCTTTTACTTTTCATGTTTGCATTTCAACACACAAGCTCTGGGGGCAAAGTTAGTCTGGCGACCTCCTCAACCTAAGTCGATGATCAAATGGATTAGTCCTGAAGGTGTTCAATGCTTAGTTGCACCGGGATGATATAAATCGATCACGCCGGCATACATTCCTAATCAAATTTCATGTATCAAACGCATAAATTGCATCATGTTAATGGTGATTCTGTTTTGCAATTTTGACGTAGTCTGACGCGATATATAATCTTACGCAATCATTTGAAATCAACAGCGTCTTTTATGCGCGTTTTTTACAAGCCCCGAATCTTGTGTGGAAATATATATTTTTTTGTGACTGAACAAGGTTTACGTACATTTGTGATAGATACAATTAGTCGAGGGCTTCAGCTGGTGCGTTACTTATGCGCGCTATTTAGCTCATTCGATGAAATTACGGCTGCAAGTTACAACGACAACTGCACGCCGCACGGCAGCCACGTCCCATGCGAGCCGCCCCAGGTGCGACAGCTACTGCCCCGCCCGCTCCACGCAGCCGACTGACCGGCCAAGGTCACCGCCCCGTCCGCCGGGAGGGCGGAGCTTAATGGTCACGTGTTTGTGACGTCACACCTACGCACGGATAGCCTCTACTCCACTGACGGATTTACGGAGCCGATTTTAACATTACGAGGCAACGACAAGTACCCTAAAATTTGATATTTTGTTAAGAGACCATATTGGCGAAAATTGGCGCTTGAGCTGAAATGTGCATTGTGAAAATTTGAAGCAAATTGGACAAATAGTAAATAAATTATCGCCGAAAATTAGGGTCTCATGGGGTCTGAAAAACATAGTAGTAAGTCTAATGTTAGGTAATAGGTATAATACAATAAAATAAATTAATGTTAATGGCAACATTCCCTAGGCAAAAGGCAGAATCAAAACACAAAACACATTGTTTGGAAACTGGCCTTGAGTCGTGAGATGTGGTCTGAGATACTCTACAAAGAATTTGGCACTGAAAATCCAGCTGAAAAGGCAGGTATTAGGAAGCCCTGAGCCTAACTTCGGTCCCAAAATGAAATGAAAATGAATTAAACTGGCATTTTGTCTTATCTTTACAAGAAAACACATCATGCAGACCAAATGAATACAAAGTGGCGCTATATGATCAGCTGATCAAGCAACCAAGGATTGACTTTTAAGATCCTCTGTCCCCTAAAAAATTGATGTAAGCTGATGACGTAATATTTATTCATATGCCCTTTTGGTTAAATTACTCAAGAGAAGTGGATTTTCTTGTAGTGAATAACACTTACAGTGTTGATTTTATTTGATTTTAATATCGTGTTGGATGATTTTTATCAAAAAAAAAAAAATCATTCACAAGGCAGTAGTTTGCAGTCCTAAAACTTTTTTGCAGTGTTTTAACCCTATTAGTGGCAGGGGGGGTTGTTTTTATCCACCCCTCAGGTTTTTCGGGAATATCTCCGAAACCGCTGAAGCTACGATGCTGAAATTTTCTGACTTTTCCTTAAAGGGACTATCCCACCTTCTAAAATGTTGATAAAACCAGTTAAATTGTGCCCGACTTTATAGATTGGATGACCAGGAACACGGTTCTGGCATTTATTTTTCATTTTACATCTTAGGCTTCCCATATTCCAAACACAAACTTTCAAATATGTGACGTCACAGCCCAAAATTACCTCCTTCCCCAGGCCACATTACTGTCATAAAGCTGATTCTTTTTACTCTCTAGGCACCACAACAAAGTTCAGACCAAGTTTTAAGCGATTTTTCAACGAACAAACCCATTTAAATCAGAATGACTAAACGAGGTGACGTCACACTAACGGTCGCTCCATGTTGAAGATAGGGCCTTGTACAAGGCCCATTTTCAAATGAAGGGAACGAATTTCTTCAACACCAAGAGGCCGCGGGGGCTGCAACCTAGATAGATAGTGGTTTCTGAACCTCGCCGCAAACTTGGCTATCTCAACTCAAATCCCATGTTAAAGGTGGGACAGTCCCTTTAAACTAAATTGGGCACATTCCCTGAAAATTTCAAGTTCATAACTTTACCAGGGGCGGCTCCAGAGCACTGGGAATTGGGGGGTCCTATTCGTGAAGCGAGTCATTTGGGCGAAGATCACGATGCTGCACCAGTTTTACGAACAGTGAATGAAAGGTATCATGTGATAACATATACAAAGTTATTGTGCATCCTCTTTTGACTCGTTTTTGCTATAATAGGCGGATCCAGGCGCCCAAAAAGGGGGGTTATTTTTTACCTCCCAACATAGGTGCCCTGACACCGCCTATGCATGACCAATACAATTTTAGTCGTTCTCTCATAAGAAAATTGTAACATAACAAGACCATTGCCACCCTTTTTAGAAACAGTACCAACAAAAACCTTATTTACTATACTTTTTGTGTACCCCCAATCTCAATGATCTGTATCCGCCTATAATTTTTGAAAATGCATATTTTTAGGATCCATGTGAATTCCTGGTTCATTCTCTATCAATCGGCAAAAGTTGTGTTAAGATTGGTTCAGAAACCTGGCCGTGATAAACAGTCTAAAATGTATCTGCAATTTGCCCGTTTTTACCCCCCTCTACCCCCCTATTGACATTTTTTAATTTTATTTTAATTTAGAAATGTAGATCTCGTTGAGCCAAATCGAATGCCGTTTGAATTTTGAAAATCGGCCGGTTAGATCTCGAGATATCAAGGGGGGTCGTAAACAGCCCCCCCCCCCCTGCCACTAATATGGGGTAGCCAGGAGCCTGCCACTAATAGGGTTAATCAGCTGGTTAAAAACTGTGTTATGGCGCATCTGTTTCGATCCTTTATAACCTTGTGTTTGTTCCCGCGTTTGAGATGGGAGAGGATATTATATCGTTTTATACATATTATTTGGTGGCTTCTCAGGACAAGTGAGTTATTAACACATATTTTTACATGATTCGTATCTTACTCACGAGCCAACAAAGCCATGGCGGATAGGAAAAAGCAGATGTTGATCTCGCTTCCTCAGTTAGGAACATGGCCAAATCTGTAGTTTTTTTTTTTTTATATTGTGATTTATGACTAGCTATAGTTCATTTTAGGGCAATGTGGAAAATAAGAACGCTTGTGGTAAATGTAATTGCTGCTCACTGTGCAGTCTTCAGGAACACATTTCAGTAATTCAAGTTCTTTTTGACCTTGCTTTTTTGATGAATGTGTGTAGGCTTTTTGTAGGCAATAACTCTTTGATTACAGGTGATATTTTAACAGCTGTAAACTGGAATTGAGTTTCAAAATTGTGGTATTTGTGGGGCCAACTCAGCCAAAATCAGGCTGCTGGAGTTTTGGTTGAACAATGGGTGGCTGCTGGGTGGGGCGGTAACTGAAATTGCCAAAATGTGGCATCTCATGTAGGGGTAAGCCAGAATCAAGAATGCAGGTTTTTTTAGTATGCCGGTAATTTGGCGGTGTTTTTGCTTGGGGCGTGGTAGCATGCCGGTATCCCAGAAAATTTTTGTGGGGCGGGGCGGTGCCGGTAGCAGCCCATAGGGAAAACTTTGCAACTCTAATCAGAAATGATCCTGCATGTACTAAATGGAGTCGACGAAATTAGTCTAAGTTTGATTCACTGAAACTAGTATGCCTAGTGGATTACCATTCGATGCGCATTGACTTGCTGACTGCTGAGCTCACTGGTACTTTTAGGGATCTGTCTTTACCTGACCAAATGTTGTTTAAAAAAATTAACGAGTTCTGCTATTTTTACATTTTTACCTCCCAAAACCCACCAGTATGGCCCCAGAGTCACCATTTGACAAAGGAGAGAGATTTCGTATGTGTCCACCAACTCCGTAAATTTGGTGTCTCTAATTTAACATTTTTAAACAGAAGGCCTAGCTTGGATGTGTTAACTGACGCAGTGGATCATATAAAATAGCGGCTCTAGAATATTTTTGAATAGCTAACGAAGTCCACTGAGTATATAGCTCACGTCGCTATGAATATGTGTTGCTGCCATATATGCCTTTGTTTAACAGGTCCCCTGGCTGGCGAAATCCACCAAAGAAACTCCAGACGAGCCGGAGAGCGCAGCAGCTGCAACTCCGCCCACCTTACCAAGAGAGTGCCCGCCCAGGCGCCAACGCACTGCGCCTACCAGCCAGTTGGACAGTCCGCCCAGCCTCGTACAGGAGGCGAAAGGCCGTGCTGTGCCCGATTCGTGCCGGACACAGACGCCGAAGGCCAGCGCGGGAGCTAGCGGCGCCGTCTCAGCCAGCCCCCAGTCAACTGGCCATGCCTCGGGAACGTCAGTCACAGTGCCGCCGGCTGGCCGCGCCTCGGTCCGCGCGGGCCGATCGGGGACGGCTGAGCGCGCAGCTCTGTCCTCGGGCTCGTTACCGGGCCCTGCAAAGGTTGGCAAACGCCGCGGCAGGCCGCCAAAGAAGTCTTCTGCATCGAAATCGAAATATTCGTTTCAGTCTCCTCAGAGCCACGCTGGTGTTCAGGCTTTCGACAAAGATCTGCAATCCTCCAGGACGAATGAGGCATCAGCCACAGAAGAAAAGCAAGCATGTCTCACTGAGCGAACCGCAACTGCAGTCTCTGCTCTTCGGGTTCCCTGCGCCGACGATTCACCAACCGCCCAGAGACTTCTGACGAGGCTTGGCAAAAGCAAGATGGGAGGTGGCCAGCTGTCGGATCGCCACCCCAAACTGACGCCACTGCAACAGAAGTCACCCAGTTTGCAGCTGGAGGGATCCCGGCCCGCGAACGGTGCAGCTGGTTCTGCCAGCTCAGATGCGTCGGACATCGTCGTGCGCTGCACCTATTCCGGTTCTCCGTCTGCGGTCTGTGCTGGCTCGTCAGCTGGGACGCCTGCGGAGCACACTGCGGGTGCTTTGCAGATCAAAAAGCGTGGTCGGCCACGCAAGAAGCCGTCCCTACAAGGACTACAAAGTCGTCTTCCGAGACCCGATACTCCACCCGAAAAGTGCGGCGCGTCGCCCTCGACTTCTGCTCTCACAGCCCCTGAAGAATCGCCGAGGCAGCGGAGCGCGTCCAAGTCGGTCGGCACAGAACAAAGGCGCCCGGCCGCGGAGCCTGCCGACCAGCGGCGGCACCGGGGACGACCGCTGCGCTCCCTCACGGCCGCGAGCACTCCGCAGGCCGCAGCGGGCGTGGCCGAGGATGTTTCCGGGAGCGGCGGAAGCAGCACTGTCGCTGCTCCGGCTGTGCCACCGCCTCGAGCTGCTCCGTCGGTCCAGGGCCGGGCGGCACCGACTGCGGACGCGCATGTCGGCGCCTCCGGTCCGTCCGATAAGGCAGCTACACCACCAAACATTCCGTGAGTATCTCTGGAGATTCCAACCACGCTTTATTCCCGTGGTACTTTTGCTGTCGTTGGCCGCCTCTGCTAGGTGTCTGAGGCAGGGCATTGTAAGAAGTAATTGCTCGCTCAGTGACGCATCGATTGTAGATGCATTCCGTAATGGTGTCATTTTGTGGTAGCAACGGTCGGCGAGCTTGCGTTTCAAAAGCCAGGCGAAGCCCCCGATGTTTCCCAGACCAACAACGTAGGCGATTCTCTGCACTCATGGGTCATTGGTCAGTGACGTATCTTGAGTCAGAACAAAAAGGAAACTATTTGTTACGTGGGGCGACACGCCGGATGTGGCCCATTGCCGTGGTAATCGGAGGGAGTTCAGCCCCATCCGATCGTTAGTTGCGCCGATCTTTAATCGGAACGCTGTACCTGGTTTATGTGCCTTGATACAAGGCAGCGGCTGTAGGCGTTAAACGGAAAATATGCCACCGAAAGTTTGTTGTTCAATAGTTTAAGGCACTATTCTTAAGAATTGCCGATTCTTGGCGATTCTTTGGCGATTCGTCGATGACAGGGCGCCTCCGTCGACACGTTTCCAGCTGAGCGTTAAGCCGTTCTTTTATGGCTGGGTTCGTCTGATGTCGCGTCCTCGGCGTGGTTTTAGGCAGACGTCGCTATAGTCCGATTTTTAAGCCTGTCTCAGGGGCGCGGGAACTACGTTCAGACTGGGGGGCACACCATAATAGAGATCAACCTAGGGTACCCCAAAATCTAGTTTTCTCACCGGTTTTAGGCCACTTATTTTTCATCTAAAAAAGTATGGTATTCCGTCTCGAAGCTGTGGGGGCATCGCCCCCACGGCCCCAGAGTTGCGGGGGGGGGGCAAGCTGCCCCCACTGCCCCCCGGCTCCCGCGCCCATGGCCTGTCTAATCGCTTAAAGCGCTCTTATGAAAAGGCCACGTGAAACCTCCATCCTAGAACACTGGCCAGCTGAAAATTTAATCTTTCTTTCGACTCTATGCATTGCAGTAGCTCGGCTCGTGCTATACTTATTCGTGCTCTTAAAGCGATCAGACAGGCTAAAAAAATCCTGCTATAGTCCGCACAACAGTGGAATTGGCTGACGATGGTACTCCCTGTCTCCTGCTCTCCATAGGTGCCTGAAGGGGGCGCTCGGCAGCCTGGCAGACGGAGACGTGGTATACGTCGTCTACGGAATGATGGAAGACGGCACAAAGGTCACATATCCGGCGAAGGTGAGCTTTTTTTGTACGACCCCTCGCAGTTTCGCCCGTAATTGACCTAGAGCATCACAAAAAAGAGCTTGTGCGCCGCTACGAGACGCTGCGATTGGTACCTGCTTTAAGGCTGAAACAGACTTTCCGCGTTCAGGAAATCGCATGCGAGAGTCTATTCAAATACATTATAATTTTTCCCGCATCAATCGCATCCCGGAGGTGCGTGCGAATGATGCGAGCGTGCGCCCATGTATTTGAATAGGCTCTCGCATGCGATTTCCTGACTGCGGAAAGAGTCTGTTTCAGGCATTAACACGCGCACTGCAGCGGGTCTGAGCCGAACACGAACTGCAGGGGGGGGGGGTTGAAAACAACCCCCCCCCCTGAGATCTCGAAAACGGCGCAACGTAGCGACAAGCGGTAAACGGCGTTGGATAGGTTGAGATGAGATCTACAAGAAATACTAAGATCATTTTTGGGTCAGGTCAAAAACGAGGTCACCAGAGGTCACCGAAGACAAAATGTTACGATTTTCACAACAGGAATTTCGCGGTAGTTTTTCTTGAATAACTTGTCTTGTACACAAGACAGAGGATCGATTCGAACGCCATCGTTCTTAGCTCGTCAAGGCGCATCGAATGATATATGATATGACCTCGAAAGGTCAAGTTGAAAAATTGACCTCAGGTCAAGGTCATGACCTGACCGAAATAGGTCATGTTGCATATCATTCGATCCGCATTGACGAGAAAAACACGATAAACGTCGAACAGAGTCTCTATCTCTATTCAATCTCAAGTTATTGAAGAAAAACCGCTGGTGACCTCAGGTGACCTAAGATGACCTGGAGATCACCTTCCAAAGGTCATAAGTGATATGTTTCGGTGAAATCACCAACAGGGACCTGTAATACTATGATCCTGAGCGTATTGAAGTCATAGGATGGCATTCAGAGTAAGTTGAAATTTCTCCCATTGACTTATAATGGGCCGGTCGCAAAAATGACCTGACCTTAGGTCATCGATATAAAAATTCCGAGATATACAAGTTGTAGCTCGTGATGACTTTACTATTTCCTGTGGGTTTCAAGATCATATCTCAACAACTGTGGGCTTGGTGGGATTGCAAACTTCGAAATTTACGTTTCGAGGTAGGGTCACTTGACCTGACCTGGTGACCTGACCATAGGTCACCTGGGGTCAAAATTTTTACTCAAGGTGTGCAAAAGTTGGGAGAACAGGTATGCAAAATTTGGCGGCGCTACGCGCCGCCGTTTTCTCGCGAATTGCGAAAAACCACAGGGGGGGGGGGTTGAAAACAACCCCCCCCTGCAGTGCGCGTGTTAAGGTTGAAACAGACTAGGCATTGAGCGCAGCGGGACGGAGCAAAACCTGTATAAGAAAATGTAAGTCAAAGCATGTTGTAAATCTAGGAGAACAATGAGCTTTCTTCGCAGGTATCTTGATTAACTTTGATAGCGATATGGATCGTTTAACAAACAAATATGACACTTATTTAGCAGGAGACTCTGAACGTTTCTCCCGTGGACGGTCAGACGGGCCTAGCGCCGGATCTGCGAGTCGATACGGGTCATTTCACGCTTCTTTGTGGCTGACCTTGATCCATCGTGACGCTCAGTTGTGTGATTGCGTCTTGTTGCCGGCTGTGAGAGACGCATATTAATATTTGAGAATATTTTTATTTCGCTACATAGTGTTCTTCTGCCATCCATTTTTCACTGGAAAACGAAAAAATATGCGTATGATTTCAAGAATGACAGCTCGTTGAATAAAAAGTTAATACGTTTTTTTTTCAAAAACACAATTTTTGAAAAAGGCCATCGAACGATTTTGATAAAAAATACACTTTAATAATCAGCTCACCGTCAGCTTTCGAATGGTATATTTCGTTTCTGTAGTGGATGAAGTGACTTTCCGACGAACCGTGAGCACTGAGCAGGGCGAACGTTAGGACAGTGCTGCGCTAGTCTGCACTCTGCTTACGGCATACATGGCGACCTTGTGAGAGGAAACGGGTGAGCGCAAGCTGCGTAGCACAGGTAACGATTATAGGTCGGGGTGCACAACTTTTACTAGGTAGTGCGGCGAGGTTGAAAAGTGTTGCAATGTCATGTGTGTTTTTTTTTGTTTTTTTTTTTAGGTGTTGAAGGTGGACCGGCAGCTGTATTACGCCCGGTTCCACATACACTACCTCGGCTGGGCGCACCGCTACGACGAGTGGATTGCCGAGGAGGTGATTTACAGTGTCGTGGACCGCAACACTCCCGACTTCAACGTCAAGACACTCAAAGTAAGTGAAGCGTGCCGGAGTCGCAGACAAATTAAACGTGCTCGGTATAAATGCGTGACCTGAAGAAACATTTCGTTATGATACGTGTTGGGAAAATACCAGCGATAGCTTCAGTTTGACACAGAAGGCGAACGGGACGGAACTTTTTTTAACCCGACTGAAAAAAGTTTGATCCGCCCAGTTGTGAATCATTGAATAATGAAACAATATTTCAAAAGGGTCATTGAGAAACTCGTGCAGTATTTTCTGAATTTGCCATATTCACTGGGTGGCGGAAAAAGTCTAATAACACTATGCAACAAAAAATGAAAAATTTCTGTTCCTGGAAAGCGACCGAATTTTTCTTATTCATTGGTTCCTATTATAACCGAAATGGGCATTAGTTTTGATCTGAAAATGCTTTTCCGGTTTTCAGAGACGATTTTCGATTTTTGGCCCCGAAATTCGGTTTTTGGCCCACCGTGTCCGATGTAATTGAGTAATCGACTCGCGGTAACTTTCATCGCCTTTCCTATGCCACAAGCTTTCGAATGATATCGGTTTTGCATATTTGCGTGCAAAAATAACGTCATAAATCTATGTTAAAGTAAGAAAATGTTGAAATTTTGTAAAAATTTGACATTTTTTCGATTTCATTTCAAAATAGAGGAAAAACTAAAGGCCCCATCCAAATTCTGAGCCCAGTTCCTTAAAGAGCATTCAATTTCCGTTCGGAAGGTACCTTTTTAGTGCATTTTATCGGATTCCTGTGGCGTCCAGATTGAGTTAACCTAAACACATATCCTAAGTCATATCACATAGCATTAACCTGATAACGTATGTTAACGCCATAGGATCAACGAGGGGTCAACTGAGGTCATTTTGTTGACCCCTTGTGACCTCGGGTCACACGCAGGAACTTACTTTTGAGCAGTCCTGTCGCTCAGAATCTTGATCTGTTGGGGGCCCGTTTTTCAAGTGACTCAATCTGGACGCCACAGTAAACCGATAAAATGCACTAAAATAGTACCTTCCGAACGGAAATTGAATGCTCTTCAAGGAACTGGGCTCAGAATTTGGATAGGGCCTTTAGTTTTTTCTCTATTTTGATATGAAATCGAAAAAAATGTCAAATTTTTACAAAATTTCAATATTTTCTTACTTTAACATAGATTTATGACGATATTTTTACACGCAAATATGCAAAACCGGATATCATTCGAAAGCTTGTGGCATAGGAAGGGCGATGAAAGTTACCGCGAGTCGATTACTCAATTACACCGGACACAGTGGGCCAAAAACCGAATGTCGGGGCCAAAAATCGAAAATCGTCTCTGAAAACCGGAAAAGCATTTTCAGATCAAAACAAATGCCCATTTCGGTTATAATGGGACCCAATGAGTCCAAAAAAAATCGGTCGTTACTCAGGAACAAAATGACTGTTGCATAGTGTAATGACATTAATCGATGTGCAACGCTAAGAACTTTTCTAGTGTACTGGACATTTTCAGTTACACGTATATTTTTTCTGGGCATATTGTGCCCCCCCCCCCCCAACACTTTATAAAAATACACGTTAGTATTTCGCAACTTAGCGACTTAACATTTTGGCGGCAAATTAACCATTACTCTAGGGACTTTTTGAGCAGTTAACCAGCTGAGGTTCCATTGCAGCGTCGCTTGGTGCCGTCTTCCCGGCGCCAGGAGCAGCTCTCTGTTGTGCGACCCTGCTCCGTGGACCTGTCTGTGAACAACATCTGCTTCTTCTCTGCGCTGAGTAAGGACCGCGCCCGTGTGAACGACAGGCGCATCCAGACACTGGGCGCTGCGACGGCCAGCGGGCGGCCAGCCGGGTGCAGCTAGGGCCCCGGGCCCCCGTCCCCCGAGTTCACTGCAACAGTGCGATCGGTATGTGAAGCGAAGGGCTCGCTGATATTCTTTGTAATTATGAGACCGGTGCGATAACTGTTCTGCCCATGGATTTATGTATGAACGACTTGAGAGTAAGGATGCCAAAACTGTTTCTTGAGCATTTTAAGTGACGCTAATGGACCATGTAGTTGATGTATTGAAGTGCCGTGACGCCGAAGCTGCTCACTGCCTCGCCCAGTAATTTGTCTTTCGTGGTGCTCTGGCAGGACGCGTGCTACTTACACTGTCGAGTTGTCGCCCTTCGCCGCGGAGTGTCCACTGTCCACTGTCACGTTTGTTGAAGCCCAGTGCCGTCGAGCGTCCATGTCCTAGTACAATGTCTCATTCCAGGGACGACGAGTACGAAATGCGCACTGTACAAAGAACATCCTTTTTTATGTGCCACTTTATCTGTTTATTTAAAACAATGAAAGCATGAAGCCAAGAGACACATTACTCAATACAGTTGTCCTTTACATAATCACTTGTTTTGCGCCCACAGCCACGACACCTGGTTCTTCTTATCCTGTGAAAAGGTAGAAAATTTCAGTTATGTTGCAGAACACAACGCTATACACATAATCGACGATGTAAAATACGGCGCTTAGCACTGAAATGTTAGATCTGCATGGCCTGAGAAGTGAAGCAGACCTCTGGTCTGTTCTCAGGTTTTGCATTGTTCAGCAATAGATGTGAGGGTGTTTGATGCGTGCACCCAGAAATCCCGCGGCAGATAAGGACAGAGTCGGCAAACGGAGCACCGCTCCTCAGCATTGTAACTTTGTCCTTATTCTCTCCGTTCTTACCAACCGGACTTTCGTTTATTTTCCTCTGTACCCCTGCATAAAACGTAACGGAAGTTACTAAGCCGGTTGCTTTGTCACCAGACAGAAAAGGTGTATGTTTTGCACATATTTATGCCGAGACATTATTTATGCACATATTTATGCCTAAGTTACCTCAGCGTGCTAACTGAGCACGCTGAGATACCGAGCAGTGCCAGTTAAATCCACTGAGACAGCGGATAACCAACCAAATCCATGGACACTACCGGCTCCGGTGGGCTTGGTGGATTCCGTGCGAGTCATCAGCTCCAGCCCAGCGCCCGTCGCTTGGGGACCCCGGACCGGCTGGTCAGGACCAGTGACCGGCAGGTCGGAACAGGAGGAGGGGGGCTGGGGCCCCGGACCGGCTGGTCAGGACCAGTGACCGGCAGGTCGGAACTGAGGGGGGGGGGGGGGGGGCTGGGGCCCCGGACCGGCTGGTCAGGACCAGTGACCGGCAGGTCGGAACAGGAGGGGGGCTGGGACCCCGGACCAGCTAGTCGGGACAGTGACCGGCGGGCTGGGACCCCGGACCGGCTGGTCGGGACCAGTGACCGGCCGATCGGAACAGCGGGGGGGGGGGGCTGGGACCCCGGACCAGCTAGTCGGGACCACAGCGGCCGGCCTGCCGCGGAGATTGAGGCTGGGAGATGGGACGGGTGTCCGGAGCGGTGACAGGGACCGCCGGGCTGGACCGGAAATCAAAGGCCAGCGCTGCCGTGCAAACGCAAACACTACTACTGCGTTCAGGTGACCTCTGGCATGACGTAATGACCTCTCACCTAAGGTAATCTTTTTTTTTGCACGGCAGAGCGGTACTGTGCGGGTCGGATGACGCTCGGATAAACCCTAAAAACCCAGCACCACTTGTATCTAGTAACTACTCTTACCGGATCGGTTCAACAGGTTGAATTAGACGCCATTTATGTAACCCGCGCCCTGTTGGGGGTGTTTGAACACCTTCCCCCTCCCCCTGTGGTTTTTCGCGGATATCTAGTTTTTGACACACTTAATCATACATCTTTTCAGCACGTCATCTTGTAAAAACTTCAGACCAAGGTCGCTCAAGTTCAGGTCACCAGGTCGCTTAAAGTGATCTCACCTCATAAAAAGTTTCAGTGTCTGTCATGGCTACACTGAGTGACCAATCGATTTGAAACTTTCAGCGATTGGTATGAGCTACAGTATATACAAAATGTGTATCTCAGAATTTTGCTACTGGTGACATAAGGTCACGTCAATTTTGCGACCTCACTCGGTAAGTCAAAGGGAGAAAATTGAAAGGCGCCTCTTTAGGACGAACGTCATTCTAACCGCTCTCAAACACTGAAATAGGGAGAGTGGGGCACATTCGTGCATGGGGGCACATTGGTCTTCGGCAGTTTATGGGGACACGAGTGACTGCACGAGCTCAAGGTAACTTATGGAAATATGTCTATCATTGCCGCCCTTCGTTCACTGTAGAAGACAGCACTGTACCTGGTGTCATGCTTGATAAAAACGCAAATTTGTAATATTCGTGAGCTTTCCAAACTTTTCTCGTACCATCCATTTTCGTGATCCTGACTCGGAAATGTGGTTCAGCTTTTCAAAATTGGGGGCGAAGAAGCATACTCTATTCACGGAACTGCTGGAAACTTGTTTGTTGAAAAAGTGTCATTTTTTTCAACAAGAAATTTTGAAATATATTACAAATAACGTTGTGGGGCAGGTTCGTCTACGCACTGCCTAGGGGCACATTCGTGCATATTTTTACTTTTTGCGATTTGTGACTTTATCTGAAGTAGGTTTCACTAATGACGCTCGCCTGACTCAGTCTCGTCTGCTTTCGACGTCGTGACAAGTAATTCACGCGACCTTGGCGAGGTCACGGAGGCCGGCAGTTGGCACATTCTTGTTGGCCAGGCGCCAGCCCATTGTTTCTACATATGTTGTGCAATGCATTCTTGTCAAAAGGAATCAAGTGAAATGGCCCCTGCCAATTTCTTTTGGTAAATTTCTGGTAATGCCCGGTAATTGTTCGAACTTTGCAGGGCGCACGGAAGTGTCCCACCCCTCGGACGAATGTGCCCCATACCTGGGGCAGGTTCGTGCAAACGTTCAGAGTTATTAAAAGTCATTCTTTCTAATAGAGGCAATAATTTTAGAGGATAACTTTAACGAGGAAAAATATCTGCAATAGTTCCTTTCCATACCACAATCATCAAATTTGCCGTTGCACTAACCAAAGAACAGATATATGGATTTATCCATTTTTTGCACGAATGTGCCCCACTCTCCCCTACAAGTAGCTAAGACACACTGAACATGAAAATGGCACCTGGCCGTAAGGCCGTGACCCCTGTTAATGTCCCTGAGGTCATCTCAAGTCACGAATGGTATCTAACAGTTTTCGCGAATAACTTTTAATAGAGGCTGGTAGGGCGATGAAAACGCCTCAGATGTGTTCAGCTTGACGATACTGATCGACTGATATGCGACTTGACCCTTTCAGGTCAGGTCATGACCTCGACCTGAAGTCAAATTTTTAGTTGATCTCCTAAGGTCAAATTATGCTTCATTCGATGCGGCTTGACGAGAGGAACATGATGCCGGTAAAAAAAGCTCGTGCAAGATTTGAATCAAAAGTTATTACAGAGAAACTCCGAAAACATCGTCTATTTTAGAAGTTCTTGCCCCCTGCAGGCAAAGCCGTTGACGTCAGAGGCCTGTTTCACTAACAAATAAAGTGTGTAATTACAAAGAAAAAACTTGAGTTTAAAAGAAATAATTACCAACATTTGAAATTTGGATTTCACGAAACCTTCGGGCATGAATTTTGAGTTTAAAATTTGCAAACTTTTTTACAAGAAAAAGTTTGCTAGAAAACACGGGAATCGCAAACTTTCTGTTTCACGAAGACCAGAAACTTGAAAGAAAACATCGTAATTACAAACCTGAAATTCCAGTGGTCCTGACGTTCGGAATTTTGATACTTTTTGTGCAATGATGCAAAGCAATCAATTATTTAAAACAAATATGATATGCTGAGTCATTATATGCTCTTTTTCACTTAGCACATTCCCTACGAACCAGCTACGAGCAATAAATAAATATCGTCATGTTTTGTCATTCGCGCGCCATAATTGCACTCAACAGTCTTCTGCTGTCAAATGTTTTACGTGTTATTTTCTTTCAATAATAAGATATTGTGAACTATCATTTATACCACTCAGAAACAGCAACATTATTTTTAATTTATTCCTGCAATTTCTGACATGAAAACTAGACAAAGTTTGATAAAAAGAAGCAATATCTGTAACATGTTAAAGTTCTTGATTAAAAACAATTTTATTGTTTACAAGTTTATTTACCAACTCTTTTTATCGGAGGTGCCGCTGGTGATGAAGTTTAGTGAAACCCGATTTTACATAGTTTGCAAAAATACTTATGAATTGTAAAGTTCAAACACTTGTAATCGCAAGTTTTTAGTGAAACAGGCCTCAGGTCAAATCTGAGACAAATACTCAGAAAGAACGTTGACAGTGCTATCAAATGCGCTTTTCCGTGGTGCTCTAGCTCTATTAGTTACCGAGTTATGTGTTGGCTTGTTGCAAATTGTCCACATTCGACCTGAAAATCGGTTAAATTTTGCCTTCAATGACCTCTGGTGACCTGACTTATGACCTGACTAAAAAGTGACCGAAGTAATTTCGTCATTATTTTTTAAACTCTTTCGAATGCCGCCTTCCCCGTATCGCTACGTAGCCCAGGAGCCGCGTTAGAAGGGGGAGGGGGGGGGGCATTCAGACACCCGCAGCAGGGCGTGGAAATCCAGGACCCCCAGCGGGGCGCGGGTTAATATATTTCATTTTCCAAAATCGGTTCGGTTTTGGTATTTTCTTAGAGTTTCAGTTGGTGTCTGGTTTGGTATCGGTTTTCCAATTTTCTGTATATGACGTCACTACACAACACTCGTGTTAGAGTGCTAGTGTGGGATCTAGGGCTCTCTGCGGGCGGCCCATCAGTGCTGAACTATTGCTGTGCGCGTACCTGCAGTTTGATGCCGGCCTTGAGCAGCTGGTCGCGCACGGCGTCGCAGGCGGTCATCAGCTCGGCGCGCTGCTTCCTGTCCTGCAGCGCGTAGCTGCGCACGGCGCGGCGGAACTCTGCGGCGGCGTCCACCACGGCCGACAGACGACCGTCGGCCGCCGGCTCGGCCGCCTGCCATACCGCGCCAGCATCAGTATCCCGTGGCTCTCGAGAAAGTATCGCTATCGCTTCCTGCTTTGAAAGCCGTGACTTTGAGCGTTGGCCGCCTGGCCGGCTCGTGAAACCGTGAAAACGGTACGGGCCGGCCAGGCGGTCAACCCCCAAAAGCCACGGGCTCTCAAACCACGGAGCGATAGCGATAATTTCGGGACGCGATACTTTCAAGAGACTGAGAGACTATACACATATTCTATGGCCGGTACACATGCTCATATAAACCAGGACTGCGGACTCGGAGTTGTTGGTTTTCGGTGGAAGCCGGAGTCGGAGTCTCCGAAAATCCATAGACTCCGCAGCCCTGATGTTGACAACGGTAATATCGACTACAATTATATCAACTAATGTCGCAACTCGCAACTGTACATTGCAACATTATTGAGCAAACCTCCTGGATCATTAAATACGCTTTTAATAAAGTAACATGTTGATAAGTATGAAGGAGTTATCATATGCCAAGCTGCTGCAGCCCGCCCCAGCTCAGGACAAGAGCACATGATGTATACGCACACCATTCATCCATTCGTGGCATCCCACGGCCCACCTGACAATGGAGTGGAACTCCCAGCCGTTCCAAGTGGCCGATGAGACGGTGACTGGCAGCCAGGAGCGCCGCGGCCGGGACGGCGTCACCCGCCTGCTGCCGACACCGCCCGTCCCCGAGCCCCGTCAGTCGCGGCCGGCCCAGGCGGGAGCGAGCCGCGGAGCGGTACCCAGCCAGCGTCCCAACAGCTCGGCGGCGGACTCCTACCAGATCAGTCCACAGTGCTGAAGGCCGACAGTTTTCTCATCCCCTTTCTATATAGTATGCCTCACGATATCAAACATAAGTACAAAATGTGCGGATTAAAGGTACTATTGGTCCCAAGATAAGGGCCCAGGTGACCTGTAGTTCGAATGCGGTGAATACCCTCACCCTCGCCATAACTCGAGTGGGGGTGGAGCAGGGTGGGAGGAGGGGTGCACTCGGCCCGAGCTGTGACGAGACCGTAAGGGTATTTATTCACCGCATCAAAACTACTGGTCGCCTGGGCCCTTATCTTGAGACCAATAGTACATATTGATGTCTCAACTGTAAACGACCTGAACACATCAGTATCGAACCCACATTGCTGTACCTACTGAGGAGTAGGGACGACAGTGGGTGACTTACCGACTCCACGTGTCGCCTCACCAGCAGCATCGTCTCCCACAGCACGTCCAGCGCCAGCCGGGTCTCGAACCTGTTCAGATGCCTGTGGTACCTCGCTTCTTCCTCTGATAACACCTGCAACCGTCGTGTCATTGTTAACCGTCGCTAGCAAAAGACGAATATTTCCTTCGCCTAACCCTCGCCGTCCGGGGGGGGGGGGGGGGAGGAATTAAACAGTAGTGGCGTCGGTATTACAGGTTCAACCCAAACCCGTATTCGTATTTGCCGCCTGTTTCGGCTCCTGATCGAGTAGGAGCTTCGCAGAGAAAAACCAGCGTGCTGCCTGTGACGTGAGGAAGCCGAACCCAATTTTAAGGATTGAGCTCCTTGCTTGACCTTCCTGGCAGGTCAATGAACCAAAAGTCGGAAAAATTGGGACCTGCTATACCTAACGTCTTAGTGAGGTTGGTTTAGGACTAACGGTCATTTTTGGGGGGTTCTGAGCTACAATTTGGTTGGTATTTGTTTTGATCAAACAAAGTTATAATGCATGAGGGCCTAGGGGTAGGTACCTACCTAACTGCGCTGCGCTCCATTTTATTGGACCCATTGAAATGATCAAATTTTAAGAGGTCTTCATTTTTTATTAATTATCCATGTCTTAGGCCAGCTGCGATGTTGAAGCTTGGTATGGTTGATCATGACAAGGCTGCTATGTTAGCGTATAAAAAAACTGGCATTTACCTATCAGTTTAGGGGAAGCGGGGGGAGCACCGCCACCTTAAGCATTTCTGCTCACCGAGCTGATATGCGTAGTAAAAACGAAGCTCTTTTGCATTCATGTGAAAGTAGGAGTGTTTTCCTACATGTTGGCATAGTTTCCAGCGCTCCATTATAAAATTTCGCTACTTTACAGACATTGAAAACAAGTCCTGCATTTTGCGTCCTCCAAAAAATGTGTGGGTAGCACCGCCACTGATGGCGATGTTATCCACAGATCGGCATTACGGTGACAGCCACCCTTGGAAGCGTTACTGCTGTCTGAAATAGTAACTCAAACTCATATAAGACACACAAGAGTTGGTTGTTAGTTTGTCACAGATCAGACTGTTTGTTGCGGACAATATGCATACAAAGCATGACAAATTCACGTTTATTTCGAAACATCCAGTGAAGTCAAACGTGAGGTTAAAAAACAGATGACGTTTGCGGCCTAACTAAAGCTCTTCTCCGAGCTGAGTGAATCATCATTGCGGCTTTATCCATTTTGCCACCCCTTGGGGTAGCACCGCCGAGCATGGCGGTGTTACCCCACACACAGTCATGGACCGACAACGCCCCGACGGGAAAACAAGCCGGGACGCGATTCTTCTGTAATTCCTTTCTCAACGAAGAGCACTTCATGCCCTCAAATTTAACGTAAAAATCAAGGCATTTTGACTTGAAATGACCACTTGCTTGCTGCTAAAACATGCCAAATGATTACAACGATGGTTTGAAATTCACAAAATGGGCAATTGCGATCTCAAAATCAAATAAATCTTAGCGAAACCTACCTCACGCGGCGTCCCGTTTCCGTTCGGACACCGAAATGGCGGGTGTTTACATTTACAATTCAGAGTTTTCCCGATAGAGAGGATGGCGGTGTTTCCCACATGGCGGTGCTAACCCCGCTTCCCCTACTAGGATAAATTTTACTATAGATGGCAATTTTGCCAAGTAAAAATGCTGGCCACATGGGATGACTTTGGCACCATGTTATAAATGCAAAAATGAAATATTTATCCCATTAAATTCAAACTACTGTTAACGCCAGACCCCTTGAGACCCTAAGTTTTCGCGATTATTCTTAAATGCGTGGAATAATTTCAACCATATTTAGGAAGTAGCTGTTTCAAGACCTGCCGAAACTTTTTCTTCAAATACATTTTGTTGTCACTTAAATATTTGTGGCACTTGTCATTGACTCGTAATGTTAACTGTTTTTCCATCCTGGATAGAGGCTTTCATACGTCATATGACATTAGGCTCCGCCAACGACTGCGGCATTGACCCGTGCCCATCAGCGACCTCTGTACAAACGACACCCCTGCCATCTGTAAAGGACTATGAATTTCGCTGACGCTTCACGTGCATTAAAGGGACAGTATCATCGAAAAAAAAATCAATGTATGGAGCTGATTTTTTTTTTACTAGCATTTCCTATTTTCCTGAATCAGAAAAACATAGTTTGAGGACCGAACTCGGTGAAAAATATTGCAACCACATTTCATTTTCATGATTCATTTTCATGAGCGAACCACCACTATACAAGCATGGCCGCCATTTTGGAAGCATGCAAAATTACTACAGAACTGGCGCAGATAATACATTATTGACGCTACGCTTACGCGGTCGTTCTTCTGATTGAGTTGTCCTTAGGGAGAGGTAGCCTTAGGTATTGCCTATAAAAATATCACGTGACAATTGGAGGGAGTGACAATTGGACGTGACAATTGACAATGGGAGAAAATATCACGTGACAATCACGTGATAAACGTCATACATTGGAGGGAGATTGTGATTCAAGCTGGAGGAATTCCTTTGTTGAGCCGCTAGAATCCGAAGGAAACAGCGGAAATTGCCTACGACTATTTAATGAATTTAACGGTGATGAATAAGTGCGAAAAACGTTTTGGCTTTATAAAATTTGATGAAATGACCAGGGTAAAAGTTTTATTACTGGCGGTCAATTCAAAACGGCGCAAACATTTAAACAGTGAAGATAGTGAAGCACGATTCAAAGTGTAGTACACTTTTCGTACTTTGAGCGGCGATAGCGGGATAACGGTGTGGAGCTTCGAGGATCGGTCTTCAGTTTCCGGACCAGAAAGGTGGGGCCTATGCAATGTCAAATTTCATCAAAATGGTGATACTGTCCCTTTAATCAATTGCAGCAGACGGTCAAGTAAATGTGAGGCTCTTGTTGACTCTTGTATATAGGACCAAGAGGACCATCACTCCTCAACCTACTACTCACACGTGCTTCGAACAAACGTTAACGATTCCTAACAAATACGATTTTCGATGTAGGATATCTGTTTGAAATAAGAGCGAGCCTAATGATGTGAAGCGAATGCAATTAACTATTATTGCGAATTGTTCGATGGTTGTATAGCGATGTACAAATTGGCAGCTACTTGGTGACATCCGACATCCCATTATCGCATATCTGCAACGCCATAGGCTTTAAATACAGGTGAATATTTCCTAACCTTATGTCAGTTATATATGCCATCTGCCCGTCATTTGCAGCTTATAAAAAATAAAACAAATATCAGCGAACATATCAGCATTGTACAAGCAATGCGCATTGAGCTTTTATGGCTCCTCAGTCATCATGTCGCTCTTCATCTTTGGGCACTGTCAGCCAAGACGTTACGCACAACTCCGCCGGCTCTCGGCACCGCTCGACCGTCCCCACTCCCCGCCACAGCGCGAGTGACCGCGCGCCGGCCCGAAACCGCCGCAGGCCAAGACCACAGAGGCGGGGCTTAGCTGTGACGTCATAACGTATCACAGACTGACTGGTGATAGCCTCTACACACCGGGTGAAAATCTTGCTCGAAATTTAACATTACGAGTCAATGAGAAGTGCCTGAAATATTGAAATGGCGATAAAATATCTAAATTGTAAAAGTTTCGGCAGGTCTTGAAACGGCCATGTCCTGAGCTTGGTTAAAATTCTTCCACGCATTTAAAAATGATCGCGAAAAATTAGGGTCTCAAGGGGTCTGGCGTTAAAGGTAGTGTGCCAGCTTTCTTGGACCGTATGGAGTTAATGGCCCAGATAAGGAGAACCGGATTTTTAGAACTTATCCATACCTTCAAAACTCATGGAAACGTCTTAAATTCTTCAAATTTTGAGTACCCCAGTGCGAAATTCGCCCCGACGGGTTGTCGGTCGTACCCCAACCACATTTCACACCACTATGAACAATAAATGCACACACTGAAATCGCTATTACCGATATGCTCATCCAATCAAGTTTCGATAAACCCGTTCATCATCATCTCCTGCGGTTTCGAACACGCCTGTTAGGTGGCTTCTGATGCTCGTCGAGGTCGGAATTTCCAAATGCGCGTGGTGCGTCGGGCCGCGCGCTCTGACTTCGGCCAAGAAAAATGCGTCAGCTGATCATTGTCATTTCTGCCACTTGCGTGTGGTGAAATGGGGTCATAACTTATAAGACGGCTTTTTCATATCAATTATTTTACATAAAATCATATTTCAAACCATAAATAATGTTCGACAGCCAAATAAAAGAAACAATACAATACGGGCTTACAGTTTAAGGCTCGACATTGTGTTGTCTACGATTAGACAGCTGATAACTCATTCCCGTACGTCGTATGGTCGTAACACTATAATGACCTTTGCTTATTGTCACAAGTGCGCCGCATTCGCGATTGTTGCCCGACGCCTGTTTGCAGGTGAGCCCACTACAGTTGTTATACATATCTAAAAACCGATAAACTTTTAGGCGAAAAAGGCACTATTCCAGGCCCATTTTTGATTTTTTTTTGCGATATTAGGTAAAAACAGAAGCTTCTTATCCTAGGAAAAATAAAATGGGAAATCTTTCAAAGGTGGCACACTACCTTTAACAGTAATCAATATTATTATTTGTGGTGGGTGCGTCTGTCTGTGGTCGAGGTCCCGACTTGGTGGTGCTTTGCGTGGACTACAGGCCAGACCGTTGCACCTAGCCCGGTGAAATTTGCACAACTTATAGATCAAGGATGCGGGACGTGCCTTTGAGGGGTCTGGACTCGATCGGGACGATAGTGAGCGCGTGGTGCGTGCCCAAAAAGTGCAAATTCGCGTTATAGACTTTACATGTATAAATCGGCGTGCAAAATCTGGCGAAAACAGCCAAATTTGCCCGACACGGGTCCGGTCCCGGTGCAATATCTTGGTGACCAGGGGTCCGACCGGTACAGGGAAAACAGCATCGTGTAGAGAATCGAACGGGCTGGAAGGCTACTGAAAGATGAGCTGAAAGTTTCGCCGCGATCGAATGCTTTTCGCGAGTTACTGCCGAAAAACCGATGGCAGGGGGGGGGGGGGGCGGGCATCCGCCCCTATAAATGCGGGGCTTACTAATTTATTTATGAGCATTTACCTGGAGAATACTGAGGTCCGACTCCGGTTGTGCACTAGGACACTCCAGAATTCCAGCAACACGAGTTTCTACAGAGAACAAAAATTGCTGGTAGAACCGCATCGCTCCTTCGGCTTGTTCTGTGCTACCATCTGAAAAAAACAACGTACGAGGCATTATACAATTTGCAAAGGTTTGTAAAGAAACCGAGGAATTGGTCACCACGAAAAGCGATACGGCGGTGCGTTGTTGTTTTCAGCAATTCACGAAAAACCAAGGTGGCGTTAAAGCGCTCCCCGCCCCGGCGAGGGTCAAAGGTCGGCACAGGTCCCCCGACTACTAGCGATACAGTAAATCAGACGAAAATTCACCATGTGTGCTAACCCCTTCACGACTACAAGGCACCTCCATCTTAACCCTCGCCGGCACAGGGGGGTTGATGTACCCCCTAAGGTTTTTCGCGAATAACTCGCGTAAAAAGCGGCCGATCGCGACGAAACTTTCAGTACCCTCGCATTAATCAATTTGACACCTACCCTGAAAATGTCATGACCCTGACCCAAATGACCTTTGACCTGTGACCTATTTTTCGAGGCCATGTTTGGCCGGAATCACCATTCGGCGTATGCCGGCTCGCATTAGCCGCGCGTTTGCAAGATTCTCGTGGTTTCAAACGTTCAAACATGTGATTTGATGTTGCTCCCATGCATTAGGGTGGATGTCAAGGTCAGCTGAAGGTCAGATCATTGACCTTTGGTGACCTCGGCTCACTTTTTCGAGTTTTACATGTTTCTAGGCTAGTTCTTGGAGCTGAATTCGAATTTAGCAACCATTTGAACATTTACGAAGAAGTTTTGGTGCCTTCGTAACATGATACGAAGCTGTCAAAGGCACGTACTACGAATACCCGCCACGACCCCTACTGGTTGACCTGACCTGTCGACCTGACCCGACCTGGTCTAAATTCTTAAGGACATCATCTGTGATCAAAACTAACATGATATTCGTGATCATCACCCCGAAAAACCCTATAGCAGCCACACATTACGACTTTCTAACAGGTCCCGATTTTTCCGATTTTTGGGTCATTGACCTGACCTGGAAGGTCAACCGATGACCTAGGACCTTAAAATTGGGTATCATAGGCTTCCTCTTGTGACGGGCAACACGCTCGTTTTTTACGCGAAGCTCTAGCTCGATCAGGGGCCAAACGCAAGGGGGGTCGTACCCCCCCCCCCCTTGTGCCGTCGAAGGACGCAAAATGGCCTGTGCCGGCGAGGGTTAACCCTCGCAGGCACAGGGGGGCGAGGGAGGCGAGGTTGATTCCTCCCCCCCCCCCCCCCCCACTAAGGTTTTCCATTGTAGCGTCTGCAGCCTTGGATGCATTTGGCTGAAATTTTGCATTGTCTCCTCAGTAACCTTTTCACACATCCTCTGGCAAATTCAAGTATCTACTATCTACCTTGTAAGGTTGTTGACCTGTGACGTCATTCTCGAAGTCATGTTCATTGAAAATCGGCGGGAATGCCGTTCTATCGCAATATCGCATGCGACTAGACTTGCATGATCTCTCATACGTTTTTACTCATTGGATGCAGCATAATAGGTATCCAGTGGTTACACCTTTCCGTCTGCTTTTTTGCAGTGGATTCATTTATGATTTGTTGTGCTTAAAATGATCAGAAAATCAAGTAAAACCTTTTTATAAAAGGATTATTTTCTACATTCTAATATAGGAAATAGGAATAACTATATTCTATATAAAATATTATTTGACGCGGAAGCTTTGTACGCGTTGACCAATCATATTGCGTAGTTCCTGTTCAAACCTACCTACAAATGCTGCATTGGCTGTGAGAAGCATGCTGATTGGCTGACGCTGACGTGGCTGCATTCCTCAGCAAGGCACTCATTCCTCTGCAAGGCACTCTTTACGGAACGAGAAATTGAATATCTTCGTCTAGGGTGACTGTTGGGCCGTAATAGCTCCTGATTTGTGCTAGTCTCAGCTCAAGCTACGAAACTGCTATTCCATTTCAAAACCCCATGTTAAAAGTGAACCATTTCCTTTAATCACCGTTCTGCTGGGGGGCAGAGGGAGGGGGGTAAGTTTAAACCCCACTCTTACCCCTGCGGTTTTCGCGGAAATCTAAAAAACGGCGTGTCGATAATCGGCGAAACTTGGCCTTCGATGACCTCCGGTGACCTAACCTTTGACCTGACCAAAAAAAAAAAATGACGGAAGTAATTCGTCATTATTTTTTATGCTCTTTCGAACGCCGTCTTCCCTGTATCGCTACGTGGCCCAAGAGCCGAGTTAGGAGGGGCTGGGGTGGGGGTGTTCAAACACCCCTCAGCAGGGTGTGCAAATCCAGGGGTCCCAGCGGGGCGCGGGTAAAGAAACGTTATCCTTCACCCCCGTGTGTTGTACCGGTCTCCAGTAGCGCGGAGAGCCGCAGCAGCTCGGCCCGCTGCGTCTGCAGATAGTCTCTGAGCGTCTGACTCGAGGCGGCCGCCGCGCCCGCTGGCTCCGACACGTCCACCACCAGCGACGCTCCGTCAGCCAGTCTGCAACACGCGGCAATCGGAACAGGACGTCAGCCAGTCTGCAACACGCAGGAACCGGAACAGGACGTCAGCCAGTCTGCAAGACGCGGCAATCGGGACAGGACGTCAGCCAGTCTGCAAGACGCGGCAATCGGGACAGGACGTCAGCCAGTCTGCAACACGCGGCAATCGGGACAGGACGTCAGCCAGTCTGCAACACGCGGCAATCGGAACAGGACGTCAGCCAGTCTGCAACACGCGGCAATCAGAACAGGACGTCAGCCAGTCTGCAACACGCGGCAATCGGAACAGGACGTCAGCCAGTCTGCAACACGCGGCAATCGGAACAGGACGTCAGACAGTCTGCAACACGCAGGAATCGGAACAGGACGTCAGCCAGTCTGCAACACGCGGCAACCGGGACAGGACGTCAGCCAGTCTGCAACACGCGGCAATCGGAACACGTCAGCCAGTCTGCAACACGCGGCAACCGGGACAGGACGTCAGCCAGTCTGCAACACGCGGCAATCAGAACAGGACGTCAGCCAGTCTGCAACACGCGGCAATCGGAACAGGACGTCAGCCAGTCTGCAACACGCGGCAATCAGAACAGGACGTCAGCCAGTCTGCAACACAGGGCAACCGGAACAGGACGTCAGCCAGTCTGCAACACGCGGCAATCGGAACAGGACGTCAGCCAGTCTGCAACACGCGGCAAATAAAACAGGACGTCAGCCAGTCTGCAACACGCGGCAATCAGAACAGGACGTCAGCCAGTCTGCAACACGCGGCAATCGGAACAGGACGTCAGCCAGTCTGCAAGACGCGGGAATCAGAACAGGACGTCAGCCAGTCTGCAACACGCGGCAATCAGAACAGGACGTCAGCCAGTCTGCAACACGCGGCAAATAAAACAGGACGTCAGCCAGTCTGCAACACGCAGGAACCGGAACAGGACGTCAGCCAGTCTGCAAGACGCGGCAATCGGGACAGGACGTCAGCCAGCCTGCAACACGCGGCAATCAGAACAGGACGTCAGCCAGTCTGCAACACGCGGCAATCGGAACAGGACGTCAGCCAGTCTGCAACACGCAGGAACCGGAACAGGACGTCAGCCAGTCTGCAACACGCGGCAACCGGAACAGGACGTCAGCCAGTCTGCATCACGCGGCAATCGGAACAGGACGTCAGCCAGTCTGCATCACGCGGCAACCGGAACAGGACGTCAGCCAGTCTGCAACACGCGGCAAATAAAACAGGACGTCAGCCAGTCTGCAACACGCGGCAATCGGAACAGGACGTCAGCCAGTCTGCAACACAGGGCAACCGGAACAGGACGTCAGCCAGTCTGCAACACGCGGCAATCGGAACAGGACGTCAGCCAGTCTGCAACACAGGGCAACCGGAACAGGACGTCAGCCAGTCTGCAACACGCGGCAATCGGAACAGGACGTCAGCCAGTCTGCAACACGCGGCAAATAAAACAGGACGTCAGCCAGTCTGCAACACGCGGCAATCAGAACAGGACGTCAGCCAGTCTGCAACACGCGGCAATCGGAACAGGACGTCAGCCAGTCTGCAACACGCGGGAATCGGGACAGGACGTCAGCCAGTCTGCAACACGCGGCAATCGGGACAGGACGTCAGCCAGTCTGCAACACGCGGCAATCGGAACAGGACGTCAGCCAGTCTGCAACACGCGGCAATCAGAACAGGACGTCAGCCAGTCTGCAACACGCGGCAATCGGAACAGGACGTCAGCCAGTCTGCAACACGCGGCAATCGGAACAGGACGTCAGACAGTCTGCAACACGCAGGAATCGGAACAGGACGTCAGCCAGTCTGCAACACGCGGCAACCGGGACAGGACGTCAGCCAGTCTGCAACACGCGGCAATCGGAACACGTCAGCCAGTCTGCAACACGCGGCAACCGGGACAGGACGTCAGCCAGTCTGCAACACGCGGCAATCAGAACAGGACGTCAGCCAGTCTGCAACACGCGGCAATCGGAACAGGACGTCAGCCAGTCTGCAACACGCGGCAATCGGAACAGGACGTCAGCCAGTCTGCAACACGCGGCAATCAGAACAGGACGTCAGCCAGTCTGCAACACAGGGCAACCGGAACAGGACGTCAGCCAGTCTGCAACACGCGGCAATCGGAACAGGACGTCAGCCAGTCTGCAACACGCGGCAAATAAAACAGGACGTCAGCCAGTCTGCAACACGCGGCAATCAGAACAGGACGTCAGCCAGTCTGCAACACGCGGCAATCGGAACAGGACGTCAGCCAGTCTGCAAGACGCGGGAATCAGAACAGGACGTCAGCCAGTCTGCAACACGCAGGAACCGGAACAGGACGTCAGCCAGTCTGCAACACGCGGCAACCGGAACAGGACGTCAGCCAGTCTGCATCACGCGGCAATCGGAACAGGACGTCAGCCAGTCTGCATCACGCGGCAACCGGAACAGGACGTCAGCCAGTCTGCAACACGCGGCAAATAAAACAGGACGTCAGCCAGTCTGCAACACGCGGCAATCGGAACAGGACGTCAGCCAGTCTGCAACACAGGGCAACCGGAACAGGACGTCAGCCAGTCTGCAACACGCGGCAATCGGAACAGGACGTCAGCCAGTCTGCAACACAGGGCAACCGGAACAGGACGTCAGCCAGTCTGCAACACGCGGCAATCGGAACAGGACGTCAGCCAGTCTGCAACACGCGGCAAATAAAACAGGACGTCAGCCAGTCTGCAACACGCGGCAATCAGAACAGGACGTCAGCCAGTCTGCAACACGCGGCAATCGGAACAGGACGTCAGCCAGTCTGCAAGACGCGGGAATCAGAACAGGACGTCAGCCAGTCTGCAACACGCGGCAATCAGAACAGGACGTCAGCCAGTCTGCAACACGCGGCAAATAAAACAGGACGTCAGCCAGTCTGCAACACGCAGGAACCGGAACAGGACGTCAGCCAGTCTGCAAGACGCGGCAATCGGGACAGGACGTCAGCCAGCCTGCAACACGCGGCAATCAGAACAGGACGTCAGCCAGTCTGCAACACGCGGCAATCAGAACAGGACGTCAGCCAGTCTGCAACACGCGGCAATCGGGACAGGACGTCAGCCAGCCTGCAACACGCGGCAATCGGAACAGGACGTCAGCCAGTCTGCAAGACGCGGGAATCAGAACAGGACGTCAGCCAGTCTGCAACACGCGGCAATCAGAACAGGACGTCAGCCAGTCTGCAACACGCGGCAAATAAAACAGGACGTCAGCCAGTCTGCAAGACGCAGGAACCGGAACAGGACGTTAGCCAGTCTGCAAGACGCGGCAATCGGGACAGGACGTCAGCCAGCCTGCAACACGCGGCAATCAGAACAGGACGTCAGCCAGTCTGCAACACGCGGCAATCAGAACAGGACGTCAGCCAGTCTGCAACACGCGGCAATCGGGACAGGACGTCAGCCAGCCTGCAACACGCGGCAATCGGAACAGGACGTCAGCCAGTCTGCAAGACGCGGGAATCAGAACAGGACGTCAGCCAGTCTGCAACACGCGGCAAATAAAACAGGACGTCAGCCAGTCTGCAACACGCAGGAATCAGAACAGGACGTCAGCCAGTCTGCAACACGCGGCAATCGGAACAGGACGTCAGCCAGTCTGCAACACGCGGGAATTAAAACAGGACGTAAGCCAGTCTGACGGACGTCAGTCTCGGTGAGAGATGAACCCGAACTGCAGCTGGTGCGGTGAAAAGGAGGCATGCAGCTCATCCAGTATCGCAAACTACAATAGTTTAGAAGCGGTAGTCGTGATGCAGGTTGATAGATATGCTGAGAGGAGGTGCGCAGAAGTTCAGGGGACTATCCAAAGACCAGGGTGTCGTCTATACATGGCACCTTCCCCCAGTGCCACCGTGAGATGAGGCCAGCCACCTGATCTACTGTGACTGCTGAGGCGCGGGAATCGTGACGAGTTTCTCTTAACCCTCGCCCGCACATGCCATTTTCCCATCCTAGAACGCACATGGGGGGGGGGGGGTTGCCACCCCCCCGCGCCATTTCGTTCCTGTTGGAGATAGAGCTTAGCAGTAAAGACCAAAAAGATTCTTTGGGAAGAGACGAATCCAATGATACCCAGTTTTACCTTCTCAGGTCAGTCATTGACCTTCCAGGTCAGGTCAAACTAAAAAATGTTGCTGTTTTGGGTCACCGTTGGATATCAAGTGCGCTGCTTATCAAATACCGATGACGATGCTGTTTTCTGGTGCCAAGCCAGCTAGAACCTCTTTGTCACACTATCCCACCAGAATTTTGCTGCTGAGGTCATTTCAGGTCAAGTTAGGTCAAGGTCAATTATATGTGTTTGTATGTCTGTGTGTGTCTGTGTGTATACTGATGTGTGCACCGATTGTTTTTGGGTCCATATCACATGAAATCATGATCTGAGAAGCTTTTACCAAAAATGCAGTCAAAAAACTTCACAAAAAGTAAACTCAGCTTGCCTAAAACGCAATTATCTTAGATGACCTAGGTTGACCTTGACCCTGACCTTGACCCCTGTACATCGTCGAACAACATGTTCCATGATAGGTGGGAGGTAAGACTGGCAAAAAAGGCCGAAATCAGGGTGTCAAAAGCTCACAAGGCCCATGGCAAACGCAAGATGTTGAGAATTGGCCATTTGGGTCATGACATGACCTGAAAAACAAGGTCATATCTCCGAAACCAAAAATCACAGAAACTTGAAATTTTCAGTGGACATCAAGGAAGGATAGACGAGCAGCTATACGAAAAATCAGCCTTCTAGCTCTAAAAATGTTGAGTGCAGAGCAGAAAGACTGCCTGGGGGGGGGGGGGTGTGGCAACCACCCCCCCCCCCATGTGCGGGCGAGGGTTAACCCGGCAGTTGCTGGGGTATTTCGCCACCCACCGTTTGCCTGGGGGGGGGGGGCGTTAAACGCCCCCAGCCGATAACTCGAGAACCAATAGGCGCAGCGAAACGCACGAGGCGGCAAA